TCTCAGCAGCTGATGATGACAGCGATGGCAGAATTGGAGCAGAGGGTCGGTATCAGATTTCTCAGATTGTATTTGTACAAACTCATGATGTAGTCAGAAAGCATCTCATTGGTTGGACTAAATATCAGCGGGTGGAGTCAAAAAACCACAATCTGTGTCGATGGAGAAGAGACAGCTATTTTTATGCAGCTTAGAGCACTTTTTACTTACAGGGGAAAAAATGCTTCCTGGACATTATTAGTAATTCACCAGACCAGAATTTAAATGTGAAAAGATGGTTGGACAGGTTGTTTAAGTATTATTATTATCATTTTTTATGCTTCAAGAAAATGCTAGTGTTTCGGACCTGCTTATCGAGGTTTCTATGATCTTCTGTGTTGTACCTTTAAAATCCCAGATTGTAGCTACACTGCAGTACTCCTGTTCAAATGTGGGGAAACCGTGTGGTTTCTTTTCTCCAGAAAATCTTCACTCAATTTCAGACACTTCAGACACTGTTAGACTGGCTGCTTAGGTTAAACTCAATCAGATTATTTCTTTCACTGGAAACACACACATAATCATCACTGTGCACCAGAGGTGTGGACTAGAGTCAAATGTCCAGACTCAGGCTCGAGTCACAAATTTGATGATGTAAGACTTGACTTGGCAAAATCAAAAAACACTTGCAACTTGACTTGGATTTCAGCACCAATGACTTGTGACTTCATTTGGACTTGAACCTTTTGAATACTTGATACCGTCCTCCAAGCCCAAAAGGTTAAAAAGTATGTCACTTATGAAGTTTTAAATGAATCTGGTAATTTCCCCTTCATTTCCTAAATCAATTAACGCTATTCTTTCCCAGCAAGTCGACACTTGATTCCCCAGATCCACTTTGTTTGAACAAATCTGACAGCATCCAATCAAGCTGCAGGAGAAAACCATGAATACCAATGTTACTGAGCACCAGTTAGAAAAAAGACTCAACTGTGTGGTGGTCAACAAAAATTGAATTGCAGCATGCAAAACATGTGGGTCAGAAATTACAAATAGATGCAACAACGTCCAACAAACTTGTTTTAACATAATAATACAAAATTTAAAAAGCTTTGATGAGTTTTGTTAATCAATATATCATTACTTTTTCATTAACATGCATTACAGTTTGTGAAGACTGCATTGTGACTTGTGTAGGACTCAAAATGGTAAATGGACTGCCTTTCTAGTCCTCCGACCACTCAAAGCGCTTTTTACACTATGCGTCACATTCACCTGTTCACACACACATTCATACACCTGTGGCTGAGGCTACTATACAGGGTGCCACCTGTTACTCAGTTTTTAACACACTCACACACTGAAGGAACAGCCATTGGGGCAATATGGGGTTCAGTATTTTGCCCAAGAACACTTTGACACATGGACTGGAGGAGCGGGGGATTGAACTGCTGATCTTCAGATTAGTGGACTCTCTCCTGAGCCCCAGCCCTGAAAAATTTAGTGTTGGACTTCAATCAATCAGTCAAGTCAATCATTTATTTGTCACATTATGCAACATACGACTCCAGTCAAATGTGTTCCCATCAACTTAATTTAATTTTTGCACTGTAGTTTAGTCCTTTTTCATGTCTTCTGACATTGTTGGCTGCTGCTTTTTAATCGTCCATGTTTCCGGATGGTTCTGGTAATCCATGGCTTCTGGTTGAGGAATGATTTAACGATCTAAACAAGCTGACCCAACAAGATAGCCCCATGGCCACTCCTCCTGAACTTGGGCAGTGATTCTGTTCTACAGCCACCTCTGAACAGTGTACAGCAGTGATCCACAGCAGGAATGGGACGGCACCTCACATTCGCACTGTCGCACCAGTCCTTATTTACCGTAAAGCACCTTCTCATGCCAGAGTCCTCTGCTCTGTCAGATCGGCATCTAGAAAGAGAGCCTCCTGGTTGAATGCCACTGTCCAGGCTTTAGCCAAGTTTCAGTCAATCAAAGGATATTACAGCTCCTGATATCCTGCTGGGAACTGATGCGACATGGAGGTCGTCTGGTTTACTTTCCAATGCCTGTACAATGGCTAGTAGGATGCCAGATCAGCTGATGTCCATTATTCTCCATTTTTTTCTCAATGTTTACTGATGTTTACATTCGAAAACTTTGGCCTGGCAAGCTATCAGCTAGCAAGCTAGAATTCGGCAGAGAGGGAGAGTTTACAGACTGGTGAGGTAATTTCTTAATTCCGATGAGTGACCCACAGCCACACGATACTGCCGTCCAAGCCAACTGCAAAAGGACCACCAAGAATTTCAAAAAAAAAATAAGAGCCTATTTAGCTTAAATTTAGCTCGGAGCTGACAAAGAGGCAACTGGCAACTGGAAGCATCTGTGCCTACACCTTGGGACTTGACTTGGGACTTGAAAAGCAGTGACTTGGTCCCATCTTTGCTGTGCACTGCCTTGGGCTTCTTTAGTTACAGTAAATAGAGGACTGATTGTAGGAGTCATAGGTACAGCTACCAAATTGTTTGCATTAGTTCAGTTCAGTGTCAGTGCATGTTTATCCCCCAAGGCAAGTTTTGCTTTCCTATGACTTTGAGCTTATTTATCAGATGCATTAGACGAGTATGACAGTTGGTTTGTTCAGTGTGTATTTGCTGCGAGCACTCAAAATTATATCAACATCTTGAGGCTCTTTGTTTAAGCATGTTGTTTCAGATTAGTCAACATGGAAACCATCTGTATTGATGACAGAAGTCATGACCTCCAGATGCTCGTCCCAGTTTTGCTCACCAGCAATATCTGAGCTCAGCTATCTTACATAATCGGATAAAGGATTTGGACAATCTAGAAAATGTTGACCATCACATTCAGTGATTATTTTTGCAGATGATTCATGGCCATTTCAACATGCTTTTCTTTCTGTAGAATTCCAGACCATGGTCCTGTCCTGAGTTTTCCTGATGACAAGAGCTCAAGTCTTCGGGTCTTCGGTCCTCTCCCTGTGTCTGGACTCTTCTGACCCTGGCCTCCATTCCCAGTGACTTCTCATGTTTTCTACTAAATTCTGTGTGTGCTAATTGTTTTTAAATGACCTTTTGTCCATTTAAAGACAGCAGACTTTTAATGTGTCTTTGTGTTGGTCCATGTTTTCTTTTCTGTGCACACCCCACCTCTGTCAGTGAATGAGACCAAATAAACATGTGGAAACACAGATCGCCTCTTCATGCTCATCTCTTCTTAGAATATGTGGCATGGGAAAACAAATGCTGTAAAAGCATTCCTCTTATTATATCCTATGTGCAACAATAATACCTAATTTACTGGACACACATAAGAAAAGATGTTTAGAGATCAACATGGGTGCAGATTATTGTTGGTATCAATGTAGCTCATGACTGGGTTGGGGAGTAGAGTAATACAAGTAGCGGTGTTACATAAATTAAAATACAAAATGTACTCTGTTTTTTGTTTTATTTGCTCAAAGATTCACATGAGGCACCTATTTCCCATAAACAGACACTGTCAGAAAAGTGTTTTTGGCATATCCAAACAACTGAGCTCAAAAAGATGATTTTGAGGTATTCCAGAAGTAATCCAAAGTATTTAGAATACATCCCTTAGTTTAAATAATCAATTTGAATATGTTACAAATAAAATTTTAGGGCATGTAATCAACACTGCTCATGACTATATAGTATATTATTCTTACATCACCATCCACTGAGCTGAAGAAATGTGTTAAAGTTTTTAACTTTAACAAAAAACTCTTCAGAAACAAAACATTGAATGGTTACAAGCTGGACCAGTGACTTTCTATTTTGTTATTTCTAGTTTGTGGACTGTTTGATGGTTTTGGTACATCCGTTCTGATTATTTTGTTCATGTTCTGTCCAAAAGGGGAATCATTTCTTTAAGTCAACCAAGATAAATATTATGGACACTAATAGCCATAAATTTAACTTTTATTTTCTATGATTAATATCTAAAAAAGAAGGGGTAGGACTCGAAATGTTTTTACATTATTCTTACCCCTTTTGAACATGAACAATATTATTTGAGTTGCTCATTTGTTGCTTATATGTTGCTGATCATCAAGTTTTATTTTGTGTTTGTATTATGTTAACATGTTTAATAAACTGACTAAGAAAATGTTTACAATTTAGCAATTTGAATTTAGTATTAGTTTAGTATGGTTTTTAAAGTTTCTATTTTTTATTTTTTTTTTCAGAATTATTTTTTGGGACGTTTTTGCCTTTAATTGATAGGACAGTTAAGTGTGAAAGGGGGAGAGAGGGTTTGTATATTTTTTTATAAAGACAATATAGAAGAAAATATAGAAAATAAAGGGGACTGAAAGTAAAAAAAAAAAAAAAGTAAATGTTGTGTAATTTAAACAAATGACTGTGGAGATTAGGTAACAAATGTCCAGGGCCTTCCAGAGGTATATAGTATACAAGATTTGTTAACAAATCCAGCGTAGTGTGCCTTCATTATGTAGGAGGATGTAAAATGTCTTGTTTTGATATTCTGTTTACTGTCAGCGTGGAGGAAAGGAACCAAAAAATGTTCACATTTAAGAAGCTGAAATCAGAGATTTTTTTTAAATACTCAAACTAGTTAATAAATTATTAGATTAGTTAGCAGTTAATATAATAGTTGACAATTAATCAGTTAATTAACCAATAATTGCAGCTCTAATTGTGACTAAGTAAAGGGTTAATTGGGTTAAGACGAATTTGTTGACATTCCTTTCTTAATTGAGCTTAATAGTGTCATTATAATCCCCAGGACAAAGTGAGGCCTGAACTCTTTGCAAACATTGTGTCTTAAAAAAGCACTCAGTTAAAACTAAGTACAGCTTAAGCCACTTATTATTGTTATATTATTGCATATTTAAAAGTCTATTTAATAACCCAGAAGTTATTCTACAGTCCATACCAGCTCATGCTCCCAGTATTGACTAGGAACCTTTATTTGACTGGAAATCGATCTTACCCGAACAGTAGAACTTGTGGCACCGCGCTGTCAAAAGCAGGAAGTATGTAAAGTATAATGCGGCATCTCCTCTCATTGATCTCATTTCCTCATTTTATTTTTATTTACGCCGTCTCTAACCTCGGGCACCTGGTCGTGTTGGGTTTATGCTCTGTAAGGTGAGTGCTGCCGTCGTGTTATTGTGTTACCGTCACGGTTCACTCAGTTTTCTTCCGCCTGGGACACAACTAGCAGAGACAGCTAACCAGCTAACTAGCTGCTCAAACTGACCCAACATCGGCTGGCTGCTGGCTTGGTAACAGTTTATGGTATGTAGTTGTACTCGTTACCTTACAGAGCCTCCAGTTACTCCGTGAGTTTAACGAATTCAGTCATAATTATAAAAAAAAATAGCGAGTGTCTAAGGACATTGTAAGGTTTCCCCTCTCTGGGCTTTAGTTCAGCTCGCAGAGACTTCACCGGCTTAACGACAGATTTACGTTGCTACATTTACAGTAAATATGTGTACACAATGATAAAATGCAAAACAAGCCGCAAACAGACATACCTCCTAGATTCAGAGGGTTCAAGCATCCATGGATAGCCATTTAAATATTGAAATAAAGCAAACATGCTGAACTTTTTCCTCCTCTGAATGTATCTAACGGCTGCTAGCTTAGTTTCAAGTAAAGATTTTAAAGTTACATTAAAACCCTTAATGATCTCATAAAACATGATTGTTGCTGTTAAATTATCTGACACCGTGGTAAGTTGTTGGGGCAGCAAAGTATTAAAATGTTGCTCATATATTAATGTATTCATAAATCCTTGGTGCATTGAAGTGCTGAAAAGTTACATTCAGTTTCCAGTCTGTTAGGTGCACCTCTGATACAACAGACCTGCCTTCAGGAGGGTTATGTTCATGTTATGTTTGCCTCATACTGAAAATGTGTTCACTGCATGTATATCTGTGAGTGTAGACTGTATTAGAAATGCTTCTCAGTATCGTAGACTGCCTTAGTTTGACTTAGGTATACTAACATACTGGTAAATATGTGTCAAGGTTAGTTTTGTGCTAAATATAAAATTTTCCTCCAATGTTATAATGCTCCTTAAAGGTCCAGCATGTAGGATGTACTGGCATCTAGCAGTGAGTTTGCAGAAGAGAAACTTCTTGCGTGTACCAAGGGTATAGTTTGATCAATTTCACTTTATTGTCATAAAGAAATTCTGAAATTTGTCTTGTGTCCCAGGACGTAAAGGTTTAACATAAATAGAAAAATACAGAACAACACGTAGATACAAAGTATTTCACCAAACAACAAAAGCATACTACAAACACTACAAATCACATTAAACGTTACAAAAACTGGATGCAACAAATTAATAAATAATAATAAACAATCCTATTACATTCAGTGTTTGACCCAGGTAAGCTGAGGCTGCTTAAATCTGAATTAATAGGTTCAGTCTGCTCAGTCGAGCCTGTGGGACTCTAAATCTTCTGTGTGATTGCAAAAGCTGATGTTCTTCAAGTAATATGTGAGAGTGATCGGACGCAGGAGAACTACCATTGGCCCTGTTTAGAGCCAGTGTTTGATTGGTCCACTCGGGGCTACTGTTTAACAACACGACTAACTCCATGGAAGAGGCAAATTTGCATTTCCGTGGACAGTGAAGGCATGACCCACCCCACTCTTCCTCTGATTGGCTAGTACTTGTTGCCTTCCTTGGTTTAGTTGTTGAAGTGAAGGCAAGAGGAATGGGATTGGGTAAGCTAGTTGGAGGCAAAGTAGGGTGGGTCATCATGCCTTTGCCATCATAGAAAACGCAAATTCAGGTGGAAAAGGACCCATTTGTAGATATAAACAACTTATTGTAGGGTAATGAAAACACAATGATTCTTATTTTCAGGTGACAATAAACAAATGAAAACATAGATGAATATTATATGCCATTTTCTCCCTATAGATGTCTCTAAATCCTACACACTGGACCTTTAAATACTCACTCACTTTAATGCTCTATTTAAAGTAAATATTTTTTTTCCCACCACTGTATGAATTAGGGATGCACCAATTTCAATACCTCAAATCAGTGTATCTGTATCCCACATTAACTACAGTTCATTGTCAGATGGGTGCATCTCGTATAAATGCCCTCTGTGCTTCCAGCTTTGATCTGATTCACATCAGTTGTACTCAGTGTGTACATGAACCCTCCAGATAGAAATATGTAACTTATAGATTTGTCATGCTACAGTGTGTGATGTACCTGTCTTCATTCTGCAGGCACACGGCATGCTAACCAAACTATCTTTGGAGCAAAGGAGATCCAGACACACTAATGCTGATGATTAGGTAAAACACACTTGATTGTGATGATACAAAGCTGACATTGACGTCTAGAGGTCTCTCAGCTTCTATCTGTTTCTGTCAGCTTTCTCTTTGTGTATGTTACAATCCCAGAATGGCTTCAGGAACGCAAGAGAAACAGTACACACCATCTCTGCTCAGTTTTTTCATTTACAACCCTACGTTTGGACCACGAGAAGGAGAGGTGAGGCTGACTCCCAGATAAATGAGTAAACATTTTGATAGTGTAATTGCTAATTCAAGGTGTATTTTTATTTATTTATTTTTTCAGGAAGAGAAGAAGATCTTGTTTTACCACCCAAGTGATGTAGAGAAGAACGAGAAGATCAGAAATGTGGGCCTTTGTGAGGCCATTGTACAGTTCACCAGGTAAAGAGTTCAGCAGTGTAACTGAAACAGAATCTGCAGCATTTTTTCAAAAGCATTTTACTGTCTGGGTAGATTTTGGTGCGTTTCTTCAGCCCTGTGGCCTTTTGCTCAGAGTTTGCATTGATTTAAAAAAAAAAAAAAAAAAAAAAGTGTCTAACATTAATTACATGGCTAAGTTTGACTAACTGTGTCATAAAAACCAAAAGGAAAGTGACATTTCTTTAAACCTGAAGTATAACAGAAAAGAGAAATGTTGCAAGTGACGAGATACATTCTCATACATATCTTATGTCTGTAGAAGCGTCTTGTTTAGGTGCGTCTCCTTTCTTTTAATGGTCATGTCTTTCTGTCTTCCAGGACGTTCTGTCCAACAAAGCCAGCTAAATCCCTGCACACACAGAAGAACCGGCAGTTTTTCTTTGAGCCCGAGGAGAATTTCTGGATAGTCATGGTATCCTAATCTTACTTGTACATTACTTGTTCAATATTTACTCTGGTTATCTAGACTTTGTTTACCCTCTTTGGAATAAAATTTAGCTTAATCTTTCTCCTGTTTGTTTTTCATATTCATTCCTCAGGTGGTGCGAAACCCAATGATCGAGAAACCAAGCAAAGATGGCAAACCTCCCACGGTAGAGTATCAAGAAGAGGAAGTACTTGTGAGTACTAAGAAATGCTCATCATCATCTATATTTCTTTCATCGAATATTGTCAGTGTAAAGTTTAACTTGCGATGCTTCTTTTTTCATTGTAGGACACTGTTTATGGTGCAGTCGTAAGGGAATGCTACAGTATGTACAAGGTGAGTCCCAGTAACACGACGTAATTTACTCGATTAGGACATGCTCCTGGATCAGCATCCCACATTGTGTTCCTCGACCAATAATGGGATCGAGAAATCACAGACATCATCAGTGTGCTGCTCCTGTGCGTCTTCTGTGCTAAACTAAGTTTTACAAATTGAAGTTAATACAGTTAAACAAAATCCACAGTAACACTGAGCAAATACCTTATAAACTGCTGCAGAGTTAGTGAGTTTGCTTGCTAAATAAGTCAGCTACGCTAACATGTAAGCTCACCAATATGGTAGAATATTGTTCACTAACGTTAAGAATAAAGATTTAAGGATTATATCATTTTGGAGTTGCCAAGACCTGTGATGGACTCATTTTAAAACATATATATTTCGCTTTTTTTTTTTTTTTTTGCAAGATTGCGGTGCAAGTATAAATCCAGGACCATCACTGCCATGTTGACCCTGGATAATTTGTTTATGTTGATCCAGGATTGTCATCGTCATCTTGATCATGCATAATTTGTTGAGACTGATCTGGGACCATCTGGATGTACTGCAATCTTACAAAAATGTTTTGAATAGACTACAAAAAAGGAGGGGAAACGTGTTAATGGCAGGTCTTTGCAACTAAAAAACAACATTATTCTTACTCTTTAATGTTAGTGGACAATAATCTAGCCCAGTGGTTCCCAACTGGTGAGTCACAGTCCAAAAATGGGTTGTAGATCCATTCTGAATGGCCCGCAAGTGACTTGCAAACGTGTCAATTTTGTAAATAACACTTTATTTTGAAGAACAGTGAATTTCTGGCACAGAGCTTTTATTTTGAAGCGCTGTTTCTTGCTGTAGAGTGAGTGAATAGCAGACAGCCCCTTGACAGAGACTGCAAACTAGTTCTCTGTGGACCTTTCTAATAACAGAGGGGAAACGTGGACCCTGTGTCAGGTCCAGTTGGGAACCACTGTTCTAGCCTATTTGCACGCTAACTTGTTAGCACAGCCTACTTTATTAGCAAGCTAACTCACAAACGCTGCACTAGCTCATAAGGATTTTTTTCAGTCTTACCGAGGATTTTGTTCAACTGTACTAACTTCAATCAGAAAACGTAGCTTAGCTCTAAAGAAGTACAAAGGAATTTTGACATTGATTGGTTGATCACAACATTGGTCCAGGAACGCAATGTGGAATGTTGATCCAGAAACATGTCCTACTTGGCTAAATCACCTTGTGCAGTCCTGGTCTGTGTTAGAATCTGTCAGCTTTTTAACAACTTTGTGCTTTTTCATTTTCTTCCTCTTCTAACAGTCATTTATACACCCTTATCGTACCACAAACTACCAGTTTGAAGGAAAACTTGGACACCTTTCATGTGGATGTCCAATTAGTATTGATGCTAAATGTGGTCAGCTGAAGCAATAAATTCCTCAATGCAGGTTTTATTGTCTGACTAAGACAATTTCACAGCTACAAAATTTGTCATTCTTCCTGCATCCAGTGACGTGAAAGTGATGTAGTTTGAGGCAGGTTGATGGCATCCCAGATTATTAGTGCAAAGGATGTTACAGATAAAAATACAGATATTGCTTCAATTTAATATCCACATAAAAGGTGGCGAATTTTCCCTCTTAGGCCTTTATAATGCAGAAATAATCATCTTGTAACTATGATTATTTTCCTTGTGGTTTAGCTCTTCAATGGAACGTTTGGCAGAGCGATGGAAGCCGGCGGAGTGGAGCTGCTCATTCAGAAGCTTGAAAAGTTCTTCTACAGGGTAAAAAGTGATCCACAATCATGTGCAGAATCCTTATCTCTTGATGGATATGTTTCTTTGTTCAAGTTCTTATCGTTCATCTTTATTTACATGCCTAGCATATATTGACCTTGCATTGACAGCATGATCCATTTAAATTTTGGCACACAAAGATGTTTACAAAAGTCAGTCAAGCCCGAGAGTCGGTGTTTTCAGAAGCGCTGATCTCCACTAATGATATCCGTACTTACAGTGGCTGTGTTTATTTCTTTGTGTAACTCACTAGGGAAATCTGTTGTTTGCAGCCATGCCTCATTTCTTGATGTTTATCTGTCTACATTGACTGCCTTCGCCTCATGCTGCAGTCACCTCGCCGGAGTGATGCAGCTCTGGGCAGTAATGCTTATGCAATAATATAAAAAATTAATTTCTAATTAGGGAATACCCTTCTTAAGTTAACACAGGCTTCCCCCGTCACCATGTAACCCAAAGACAGAGAGAAAGAGAGGCTGCGGTGTGCGTTATCAGAGGTTGAATGTCAGGGTGATGCAAGCGTCTCTGCACAGCATCAGGCAGAGAGTTTCTTATTCCTTTGTCTTTATTGCACTGTAAGCAAGCACTTCATAGGCATGTAAACTAACCCCTTTCTCCTTTCCTTCTCCTGTGTCTCTGGGCCGTCTCCTGTTATTTTCGGCACGCTTGTGCATCTGCACTTTTCCAGTATCTGCAGACTCTCCACTTGCAGTCCTGCGACCTGCTGGACGTATTCGGAGGCATCAGCTTCTTCCCACTGGACAAGATGACCTACCTGAAGATCCAGTCCTTCGTCAACAGAGTGGAGGAGAGCCTCAGTCTGATCAAATACACAGCCTTCCTGTATAACGACCAGCTCATCTGGTACAGATTGAACACTTTGTTGTAAATTATGTGGTAATGAACAGCTTCCAGTAGGCCACAGCCTCATACAACCCCACATGTTTGCAAGGATACACCGATGTAAAATCCCAGCGTTGGCATCGACAAACACATCATTGCATGCTGTAATCCTCTTTGCAGTTAATGTGCTCACTGATATGTCACTCGCCTTGAATTGCGCTGACAGCCACCTGGCTGGATGTGTAGGCGCGGGGGATTACATGATTCCTAATGAAATGACTCGAGAGCAGCAGTGTGATCTTTCATCGCAGACCATCACTTGACAAAATGGAGATGAGCCATTTATTTGCTGTCCAAATTAAGCTGTGTTGCTCTGGAGTATTCATTGAAGCGCAATTACAGCCAGCAGATACTTAGTCCATGATGCACAACACAGTCAACAGCAGATTGAAACATACTGTACCCAGCTACACTTTTGTGTTTTGCATTTTGGCAGGATGCGTTGCGAAGGTTATACGGTGTAATTTTGTCGTTGTGGTTTGGTCTGCAGGAGCGGACTGGAACAAGATGACATGAGGATCCTTTACAAGTACCTGACCACCTCGCTGTTCCCCAGACACTCTGAACCAGAGGTGAGGAGGTGGATGGTGGACAAGGGACAGATAAAATGATAAGCTAAAGGAGAGCACGGAAGACAAATTGAAGACGTAATAAATGATGTGATCTTTTTTAATATTAACGATCCAGACAGAGCGTACAAGATTACCGACCTTTATATGAGCTGTTAATATTACTTTTTAAAGCCATGTCACTCATCTTCACTCTGACACTTCTTTCTCTGACATCTTCTCTCCCTTTAGCTGGCTGGTAGGGACTCTCCTCTGAGGCCGGAGGTCGCAGGGAATCTGTTGCACTATGGGAGGTAAGTCCCTGGTCCCGTGTGTCTGTATCTGTGTACACTTGCTCTGCAGAGAGCAGGATGAAAGCACGAGTTGGATATTGTTTAAGTACCTGTTGATATAGTCAGTGGGATCATGTTAATTGTATGTCAGCAATTGTATGATGGATGTGCACGTGAGTGTTGACACATGCATGCCTGTGTGCCGGATAGCATCATGTGGTTATGAGCTTTACTTGCAGTCAACCGATTGATTTAAGGAGGTGACTCCCTTAGCTAACACGTTGTCGTCAAGCAAAAGAGCAGGTGAAAGTATTACTCAAGCTTTGGGGTTAAAATCCAGTTTCAGCTCAGTTTTAGTGTTTGCGAGTGTCTGATGTCTTGCATCTTCATGACACTTGGAAGTTTCTTAGGGTGAAGTGGAGCTGCTGCAGTGGTCCAAGTGTGACTCCTGGTGACCTGTCATGGAATAGAAAACAATTGGATGACACACTACATTATAAAGAATATTTGATTAAAGGCCAGAAAAAAAGTTACAACTAGGGTAAAGTCAAATACATAAGATTAAAAGATCCATGCAGGCAAATCTACACAGGAGAAGCACGTGTCACAACACATGCACATGTCTTCACTGTAAATGGTTCCACTTAATATTAGGAGGTATCCTTGGAATCCAGTGTATCAGCAGCACGACAGTGAATTTCTTGTTCTGTTTGTGGTCTTATCTTTTGGATTAGTCATGAAGTGACGCCTTTAAAGTTTAGTCTGCTAATAGCTTGATTAGGTCTGGTTCAGTCCGTCCCACACTGTGGTCCAAATATCCTGACAACAACTGATGGTGTTGCTGTGAAATTTGATGATTCATACCAATTTTGGCAACCCCCTGACCTTTCCTCTAGTGCCATCATCAGACCAAATTCTCCGCCTTGGGCAACACTAAGAGCTATTTCATGGTGTTTTGAAAATAACAAAAGGCCTGACATCCCTGCAATTTGATATTCAGGATCCTCTGAGGATAAGTCTAGAGATGAAAAGATGTTTTCCCGAATGTCTTGCTCAAAGAGAAGTCTCATTCTGAAACCTGGCAGCCTTTTTCACATTATCGAAATCCACTAAATGTTCAGCCGTGACATTGAAAATCTTTTAGAAAAGAGTAAGATCACTCATGTTTTTACCATTTCATTCTGGAGCATGTCACCTCTCATGAGATTTTAGGAAGGAGACCGAGGTAGACTTAGACACAAAACAGACCGCAACAAGCAACAGGTTAGGAAAAGCATTTCATTTCTCTGTAGGCTTCTTTCGGTAATGTTACAGGACGTACTTGAAGGGGTGCACCTGCACCAAGTGGTTACATTGTACCCTGTTTTGCCTCTGCCACCTGCAGCACTCTCTCCTAATACTGGACCAAATTCAAAAATTGTTGTTCCCGTGAGTCACGTAGACACAAAACACTTGGAAATTCCCCTATAATGTCATTGCAGAGTATAATTCTAATCCATTCAGTAGTTGCTGAGATGGTAGATGAACTGTCATTGCTAGCTCAAAGGCCACGCCACAGATGTGGAGTACTTAAACTGCCCCCAGACGATTGGGAACACCTCGTGAGCTTTCCCCTTGTGCCACCATCAGGCCAAATTGTCAACGTTTTCCACAGGATATCTTTTAAAATGATAGATGAAATTTGCTGAGTGCGTCTATGCTCTCAAGAGGATCAACTCTTTATTAATCACCTGATGGCCTCTGCTCCAACACCACCATCAGGACAAACTTTTCAGTTCCGCTGCTCTTCAGGCTCTTTTTACAGCGTTACTAGCAGCCTTCCTAACGAGCCTTTTGACTTTTAGTCTTGTTTTGTAATGAGTCTGTCAGATGCCAGTTTAAACTCCGACACACATTCTTGGAATATTCACCCAGCGACGCTCTCCTCTGTCCTCTGTCCTCTCCAGGTTTTTGACAGGACCTACCAACCTTAAAGATCCAGAGGCCAAATTCCGATTTCCTAAAATATTTGTCAGCGCAGAGGACGGCTACGAGGAGCTGCATCTGATTGTTTATAAGGTAAGAGTAAATTCGATCTGTTATTGCGTGAGCCTTAATCATTCAGACGCATACAGGAGTTTTTTAATGTATTAAAACAGGGGGGAAGTTGTTATTCATTTTTTAGAATGATTTTCATAATCTGTGATTTATATTCCACTGCTCTATCAAACGATATGGACTTCTGGGATTAGACAGCAGAATTTTAAAATGATGAAATACGTTTGCTCATCATCACATTAATGTCATTTTTAACCTGTGTGACCTTGACTCTCCGTTTAACCCGCACTGATCTGCTCTTTTCCAGGCGATGAGCGCTGCAGCTTGTTTTATGATCAGTGGTAAGTGTGCACCCAGTCACCCATCTCCTGTACTTACAGATAATGATGTGGTTAACTTTCACTTCTCTTTCCCTGGTTAATTTCATAAAATAAAGTTGGTGTTTTCTGGTATTAAGGCCATTTTACTGCATGTATAAAGCAAAATCAGACTTTTTCATCATCTTATCTCCCATAACGGCCAACATTCTTCTCTCCTATGTCTCTGTCCAGCCTCTTCGGAGCTGACGAGGGACTTCTGTGAACAGCTGGACGGCTTGGTGGGCCCTCAGCTGACTTTGCTGGCATCTGACATTTGTGAACAGTTCACAGTTAACCGCAGGATATCAGGGTGAGTTGAGATTCCACCGCTCTCCTAATTAACTGCTCAAAACTTTGTCAAGATGACTTTTTCTGCATTTTGTCACAACTAACGTGGTCAGATTGTGCCCAAATATTTATGTCTTGAAGATACTGTCAGTTGTACGTGTTTTAAAAATGGGTCTTTGTCACTTACCTGATAACACAAGACACGATTTTAAGACATGAATGCTGCACATTCAAGGAGTATTCTGATGACTCTGCAGGGTAAGGAATACTGTGCAAACCTTTTCTTGTGTTTTCCCTCGTTCTCCGCTCATCGTTTATTTCAGCAAGCTTAATTTAGAAAGTGTTAAACATTTGTGAAAAATTGCCTTCAAATGTTCACATCTGAGAACATGGAAACAGTGATGTTTTACATTGAAATTACTTGACAGATATATTGGTTTGTATGGAAGCCCATAGGGGACTTTATTAAAATGATAATATTAATTTAAACATGAAAATGTAACTCCACAATAGTATTATCATTTTCCACTTATGTATTAGTCTTTGAAAAATTAAATGTCAAATGCCATTCACATTTTCATTTTAAATCGTTAGAAAATTACATTTCACTTCTGTTTAGACTTAAATATTATCTGCATAAACAGAAAATTAGGTTACATCGTATATATTGCATTTTAATTTTTAAACTTGAATAATCAAATATTGTCCTTAACTTTAAAACATTTAATATCAGATGTTTTAAAATGGTCGTAGAATTCCAAATTCAGTGTAAAAATGAAAAGGCAACTTTTTATTTAAATTTTTACTCAAATCATACGGACAAGTTTACATTATCATTTTCATAAAGTCCCTTATGGGCTTCCATAGTTTTGGATTCACTTGAATATTTAATTGACAAAAAAATAATCATTAGCTATTTATTTTTTATTCTTCTTTTTCTATGGATTAATGGTCGAAGATATTTTCCAGTAATAATGCCAAGCATTCCTTAATTCCATCTTTACACCTGTAACAATTGCAGCTGGAATTGTTAATTTTATTTGTCTTATGTGATAGTAAACTGGATATTTGTAGGATTTTGAGTATTGTTGATGTTAGGGAATTGTGATCGGCTAATAAGTTATTGATTTCAGTACCATGTCATATACCAGCAAAAACTGTTTCCAGAACATGATCAGGAATCAGAGAGAATACAGCGTAAAAGCAGGAGGTAAAATCAGTTAAATGTATTACGTCATTTAAACAGTCAGTGTTCAAGTTTCATCTTGTCAGATGAAAGTAATTATCTCCTTAATGGAAGGTTTAGTGCTGCAGTTTGTTACAGAAGCCACGTTGTTTGTCATCAGTTTACAGTCAGCTCTCTGTATCAACTCTGCCTGGCTGGCAGCGATAGAGGAGACTCTGATACCACTGGATATCGTCAGGGCACTACTTAGGAGTAACTCAAGCAGTGGAGCTTTAAAGACTGGCATCCTGGCCCGCTCTCCTTTAACCCCAGCAGTTAGCTTCAGATACGTCTTTGCCTGTAATCCAAGACCGGACTCCCTGGCCCGGGCAATTTGATGGGCTTCTTTTTTAATCACCCTAGTGAAGAATCCACTGAATAAATCATGCCGTCCCAAATTCCTCAGCTGGCAGTCAGGTCTGTGTCCTGATTTGGCCTGGTGCAACTGTAAATAATTAGAGGCAGCATAGATAAAAATCTGTTGTATGGCCTGTTTGAATACACACACACTCTTCCAGAGATTAAGCTGTAGTAATAACTGTATCCTCAGATCACCTTAACGTGGGTGGACAATGGAGTAGGCTTAATTAAAACACACCACCTGCCTTTTGTTGGATGTTATCATCTAAAGTGATTTGGCTTATTGTATCATTTATTAATAATGTGTGTTAACAGAACGGTTTGCCCCAAAGAGACCCACCGGGTAAAAATAACTTTAAAGGATTATGTAGGCCCAGATGTGACTGAAGGTGTCATGCTGATATTTTTTGCTTTACTTTTTGTTTCATCATTCTTTAAATCTGTGTCCACTCAGGCCAGAGAAGGAGCCTCAGTTTAAGTTCATCTACTTCAACCACATGAACCTGGCGGAGAAGAGCACCATCCACATGAGGAAGACCGCAAGTGTTTGCCTCACCTCTGTGCACCCTGACCTCATGAAGATCCTGGGAGACATCAACTGTGACTTTGCCAGGTAACAGAGAGCAGTGGCTTTGAAAAACGGCAGCTTTATTTACACTGAGGCTGCTCAAATGTGACAAAAATCCTGATCTTGATTATTTCGGTCAATACTGAGATCATGATTATTTAACACGTTTACTCACTGACTTTGGAAACATCACGCATTTATTGAACTTTTAAGAGTGGATTTCCTTGAGCATTAAATATAATTCAGCTGAAAAACAGGTTAAAAATGTAATGCAAAATAAAAAAATATAGATAAAATATATAATATTGTAAATAGAGGAGGGGAGAGACACCATGCTGTTGGCAGAAGATCTGTGGACTGTGATCACTCTGAGCAGCATACAGAGAAATTAATTAACACATAATATCTTTGACTATATTTCTTGCTTTTTTCCTGATGGTTTAAATAAGTCGCTAAATGTATTGCTAGTCTCTTTTTAGAAGTAAAGTCACTAAGAAGGTCTCGAAAGTCACTAAATCTAGCGAGAAAGTGTGAGTTGGCAACACAGAGCACATCGCTGTAAAGGAAAGGGGTGTGCTGCATTTATAACACAAGACAAAACAAGAGCATCATTGTGAACCAGAATGAAACACAATAGTTATTTTATCTCATCTTGTTTTCATAATTGTTGGAAGCCAAAATTGTAATTGAAATAAAATTCCAACCCATAGCCCTTTGCTGCATGGCATTCCCCCCCCTTCACACTAATGATCTGTCCTGTCAAATAAAGGTGAAAGCCAGAAAATAAATAATCTTATTTAAGTCAAATTTGATTGGGCAGATGCTTTGGGCACCCAGGTGTATATTCCTGGACGTCCTAGCAATGTCGATAAATGATGTTAATACGAATGGGGCTGTTTAGCTATTCTGCTAAAGTTAATGTACACAGTGTGTGTTCAGCAACTTTATACATCCTTAAAACTGAAAATAATTCAAGTGCGTCTCCAATATTGACTCACAAAGGACATGCTTGACCCATTCATCCACCATGTCCAACATGTTATAGGAGTGGGTGTATCTAGCAGAACAGCTACAGTGGGACTATTCTCATACAGATGTCAGTTGACACTCAGTTTGATTAATAGCACAGCCCTATTTTGTATTTATCTTTCCTGAATGCCTTCAAATATTTGTTGAAGTGTCTTCATAGTGACTGGCCACAAGTCAGCCTGGTGACATTGTTTGCCTTCAGAGTAGAAACCAAACAGTACAGGAAGAAAGAAAATTTGTAAAACTTCAAACTCTCTATTTTTCCCCTGGATATTAGCACAGCTGTGACATTTTCATACATCAACATGATGCTCCTGCGAACTCTGTGAACTCACTCATTTTAGAAGCAGTCATGAGACTGTAGTCATGTGAGAGTCCCGTTTTCAGGCTGTGGGACACACAGTGGCATTGATGTTTGTAGTATTTATCCCAGCATCAATATCAGTTCCTCTTTTAGTGCAGATGTGGTGTGGATGTCGGCATGCTCAGAACATACTCACAGTGCTATTTGTGTAATTAAATATTGACATTTTGGTAATTTTGTGTGTTTTTAGACTGAAATTTATTTTTTTAGAAACCTGTGTATCATCTCTGACACAAACCATAAAACATGTTAAATTACATGACTTTTTAAATCGAATTCTGTGGTCTGTGTCGGTACGTAATCTAAGAAGAACAGTAAATACAAAATAGCTGGTGGTAAATGTGATAGTTTGATGGTTCTTTCTATCTGCCTCCTAGGGTTGATGAGGATGAGGAAATCATCGTAAAGGCTATGACAGACTACTGGGTAGTCGGCAAGAAGTCGGACCAGAGAGAGCTATATGTGATCCTGAATCAGAAGAACGCCAACTTGATCGAAGTAAACGGTATGTCTCCACCACCTGGCAACGAGTAAATCTGTGTTGTTTCCCCCACATCAGACAGTCCACCTCGATACTTATCCCTTCTTCACCCTTATTCCCCTTTTGTCTTTTCTCCGCTACAGAGGAGGTTAAGAGGCTTTGTGCAACACAGTTCAACAACATCTTCTTCTTGGACTGATGGGAGCTGACAGACAGAGACTGTTTCACCACACTAAAAACTGTCAGTGTCGCAGGGTATCATGACAGCATCAGTGTAATGCAATAATTGCATTGTAAAATAAAAAGAAATTACAAGCTTTCTCACCAAGTTTTTTTTTTTTATTTAACCTATAAAAATTGTAATTTTCTCTTGTAATTAAATGTAAATCCAGATTTTTACTGTACATGTACTTTATTTTCTTTCATTTTCTTTGTACATACTTGTAGGATTTTGTTAACTGTTAATTTGGATTTCTTTCAAAGCGTAAGTTTTTTTTTTTTAATGAGCACATCAAGACAAGATCTCAAATCAGTTTAAACACTGACACGCACAGAACAATTTAACCCAGGTTCTTTTGATGATCAGCAATCGTTTTAAAACAAGATGTCATCATGTCAAAAGTATTGTGGTTTGTTAACAACTGCGCTAACTTTAAATAAATTAAGAAGTAATTTTACTCTGTGTAAAAAATGTCTTTTTTTTTAAGTTTAGAGGTGCATCAGAGATATTAATCTGAAATCTATGGGATATATTTTCATATCACAATAATAAAGATTTACATTACCTCTGTGGTATTTTTTACAAGTGGGCATTTATTAAACAGTTGAACTACATTTATGTGTACACAATTGTAGTGCTCGCTTTTGCTGTGGGATTATTTCTGATGGAATTGTGCATTTTTAGTGCTTTATTGCAATCATGTCTGTATCTAAAATGGGCAAACAGCCAAAAGAACTAATTTGATGATAAACCTCAGATGTCATAGAAATGGATCATGGATATCTGCTGTCTCGAGGTCTTGACTGAATAATTTTGTGGGAGCCCAGTCAAGCACTAGTCTAATATTTTGTGTGGTCATGATGATCTTTAATCAATTATGTAACATTAAAGAGCAAAAATAACCTCTGGTACCACAGGCCAATGAGTTTTAAACTGTATATAAATAGCATCACCACCCTTATTATTCCATTTGTTAGTTTGCCTTCCCTTTTGCCAAAACTGAGTAAATTACAGCCCAAACAGACTGATATTTCATTTGTGTTGTATTTTTGTTGCGGTTTACATTTCAGACCAATAGGCGGCAGCACATGCTGCAGTTGTTACCACAGAAACAATCTGAAGAAGAAGAAAAAGAACCAATCAGCGCTCACCCTTTCGTCTGATTTCCAGCCAATCAGCGTCACCTTGTTAGAATTTCAAACAGTCCCCCGCCATGATTGTTGTGTTTTTCAGGCTGTCCGTTGCGCAGTAAGTATTTTACTGGACGGCCAGACGAGCAAGTTTGTTTTTATACGCGTTTTTTTTTTTAAAAAAAGAGCAAGGTAAGATAAACGTGTAATAATAATTTTATGTTATCCAAATAGCTAGTTTAAATTTTTGGCTGCTAACCGAACAGCTAGCTTAATTTAAAGCTTCCTCTTGCTTCATGACCGAACACTGCGGTAACGTTAGTGAGCTCAACTAGCTAACCTTAGTTGAAGCTCTTGAGCTAATTTTAGTAGCAAACTTGTTGACGTTATATTTTGCACTAAAGTTATAGCAGTTTTTACGGACTTTATTTTTAATGAGAGCTAGCTTTGGCGGTTAATGTTAACGTTAGCTAACTTAGTCACTGTCCGTTGTCGAAGTTAAGTAACGTTATGGGCTTTGATAAAGAAGCTAGCTCAACCACTGCTTTGAACTTAGTAACGTTACGTTGTGTACATTGTTCAGTGTGACTTTATACACACACAAGGTTACAACTTGTGGTCACTCGCGTTCTTGTACATTTTCGCCATACTTATGTGTGTCCTTTGACCAAGTTTGGTTGATATAACCTTGGTGAGTGCTAGGATATTTGAATGTTTGTGCCTCACGTTGTTCTGTGAGAGGGGCGTGCTCGTTTCAGGTTACATCCTGATGGTTATGATGTGTGTTAACTATACACTTAATTAAGAAAATTAAATACAATATCAGGAGTAGAAAGTCAAAGCCTTTTGTTTTTTATTACCCACAGTCACCAGATACTAGTTGGGTTATTATAGCTGATCACAGCAAAAAACGGATGTCAATATGTTTGCTATTACAACTCCAGTTTCTGATTAGTAGACCCTGATCACTGTTATAACCTCAATTTCAAACTGCTTGTACTTGTAGTTTTTCATTTTTGTGCCAGGTAACATGACTAATAGCACATCCAATATGATGCACCTCATTAACCTGTAACAACTGTCACGCCCCTGTAATACATCATACTCTGTTCCTCTTCCTCTTTAATCCAGATACCTGAACATGGATTCTCGATTTGCCCACTTGCGCCAGCGGGACACCAGCGTGTCAATGCTGAGGGTCAAAATGTCCCGCAGGAGATCCCAGTCCCAGAAAGAGAACCGAGATCGCGCTGTTAACACGCGCAGGCAGCTGGACAAGCTCCCAGAGCTGGAAATGTCCTGCCTGGATGCCTCCATTGCAGTGGCCAACATGTCAACCATTCAGGAGAAGACAGTGAACAAGGGAAAATCTGCTACAAGTATGGCTTCATTTCCTCTCACAGTTACAGCTTGAGCCTAATAATGTGTTCACAGGGAGGCACCCACAGCAATAACCCTCCATTTTCTTCACAGACATAGCTGGGGAAGAGAGGATGAAACAGCTTGAGCGCTGGAAGGAGCGTAAGGCTCTTGAGAAGGAGAAGGAAAAGAGAGAAAAGGAGCGTAAAGGGGTATTTAAGACTGGCATGTATCATCCAAAGGACACCCTTATCATTGCCTCTCTGCCCGCAGTCCCAGCTGCCTCAACAAGAGCTAAAGAGGTGAGAGAGAGGACTCTTCAGTAGACCAGTTTACACTATCTACTGTGAATAATTATGACATTAACAACATGTTATATATGCTTGTCTTTCAGAAAAAAGTGAACACAGCTCCATCCCAGAGTGCCAGAGTGACTCGTTCAATGAAACAGCAGCAGCCAGTGCAGAGGGTATGACTTCCTCTAACATACCTGTCTCCTGTGTTCCCATATTAACTTCCACAAAACTGAAATCTAATATGCACTTTGTTGCATTGCTTTTCTTTTGCCACATTTTCTACAGCCTCTGAAAATGCAGGATCCAAATACTGTGGCAAAGAAAGGTAAATAATTTGGACTGTCCCTTTTTTATTTTAAATGAAGCATACTGTCCTCTGCAACCTGGTGTATTTTTAGATCTGACTTCTCACTCCTCCCATAGCTCAACCTGCTGCGGAGAGGTCAACCAGGAGCCGGGCCGCTCTTGTCAAGCCTGCACCTGTACCTGCACCAGCCAAGACCAAAGTTTGTGCAGGTTTGTAATAAGAAGAAAAATCCTTACACATAACTAGACATTGAGACCGGCTATCGTGTTGATTTCAACCTATTGTGTTTCCTTATTTGCATCTCAATCTGTGTCTCTGTGTCATGCCATCCTACCATAGTGGAGCCTGTTGCACGAGCTTTGCCGACCAGATCAGCCAACAGGCCTCCTGTTACAGCAGCGCCTGCGGTGAAAGACAAACCTAAGGGCAAATCTGCAGGTACACACTACAGCTACACTGTTGCCAAGGCTATCGTTTAAGTATTTATTTATTCATTTTTTGTTCTTTGAGTTAAAAACTGGAAAAGCACAGAAGCTGCGACCATCAAAGCAAACAGAGAGAGGTGCTATTATTCTATGTTACTGCTCTTAATATTCTTAAATGCCTCTCCTCACCCTCAGATGTAAGAACCACAAGGAGCAGAGTGTTTGTCAACCATGTGGCCCCCTCTTCTGACAGAGATGGGAACTGCAAAGGTATCATTCAGTGTTGGTTAAAAGCTGAATAGTTCCACTTTTCCCACCTGAACAATTGTTTTAACTTATTTTGTGTATCTCTCCTTTAATATGCAGCAGCTGTTGACAACACTGTCAAGCCTGCTGTGCCCAAGGTGAGTATTTCTGTGAGTTTTACACATTAATCAATTAGTTAAATGAATCACCAACTAATTTGATTATTGATTTTATCGGTTTCAGTAATCAAATCAATTGATTAATCAAGAAAATAATCGTTAGTTGCCCCCCAAGTATAACCAGTAACCTGTCAATTAATTAGTTTGCTGTTTCCTTCCTTGTCTACCTGAAGGAGCCTGAGATGCAGGAGCCAGAGGATAAACCTCATCCCCCCAGCCCGGCACCCTGTTCTGAGGAGGAAGATATGGTAGTGGACCAAACTCCGGCTGACTCTGTCCCTGCTGCGAATCCTGTTGAAGCCCCATCCTCTGCATCTTCTTTTGCTCCAGCGGGTTTTGTATTCCAGGCTCCCACTGGCTTGTCGTCCTTCAAGTTCGATCCTCTCACTCCTCGCTCAGCAGACGCCTTCCTTACACCAAGGTCTTTATAGATGTTTTTTTGTTGTTGTTGTTGTTGTTGTTGTTGTTGTAAACTTTAAAATTTTTATATTGCTGCATGTAAGAATGTTTGTAAAACTAAAAATTGGAGTTGCTTCCTATCTCAAAGCTGTGTTGTTACTCCTCCTTTCTAGCCCCAGCTTCACTCTTCCAGAGGTCCCTGCTCTCAACTTTGAGCCTAAGGATGAGCTAAGCGAACCCTCCCCACCTAAATCTCCTCGCCGCTCTCCTCCTCATACATCTCCCACAATGGCCCCGCTGACTCCAGGCAGCCCCCTGGAATCAAAGCATGATGTACCATACTTCAGGTGGCATACCCTATTTACCTTTCTAGTAATCTATTCTTCAGCGTTTCCAATCATTTTTAGTTGATTGAGACGTTTTACAATCATTTCTTCTTTTGTATATTATCCAGGTCAGAAATTGCCAATGAGACAGACAGACTGACGGCACTGTCTGTCCTCTGGGAGTCTAAAGTGGGGGATGAGTCCATCCCAGAAGAGAGTGAGTATCATACTGAACATGTGACTATATTTGGTGGTGTTCTAATTGGAAAAATGACATTGTTTCAAAACTGAGCAGTTGTAATTCAGTGTCGTTCTTGCTCCTGTCTGTTCAGTGAGAGACAGTATGCGCACAGCAGTCGGCCAAGCCAGGCTGTTGATGAAGGAGCGCTTCAAACAGTTCAGCGGTCTGGTGGACGACTGTGAGCTGGGCCGAGGGGAGAAGATCACCACCTGCACTGACCTGCAGGGTTTCTGGGACATGGTGTATTATCAGGTGAGTGCCTCACAAGAGAGGGCACAAAAATTGTTTCAGACACCATAAGGAGAAATATAACTATCTGTTTTGTACTTGCGCAATGGTTCAGGTAGAGGACGTCAACAAGAAGTTTGATGCTCTCAAAGAGGCAGAGAGCCGAGGCTGGGTGGAGGAGCACAAGCCACCACCAACACGACAGCGGAAAGTAGTGAAGGTGAAGACTCTTTGCATTCTGAATATTTTACTATATAAACACACATACATTTTAAAATGGGTGTGTTAAGGGGCAAAATGTGTCATGCCTCTCCTTGTACTTTTGACAGAAAGCACCTGCACCTGCTAAGCCAACAGGAACCAAAGCAGCAGCCAAGTCTCGCCTGGCTGCTGTGAAAGCAGCCATGAAAGCCAAACAGCAGGCAGAGAAAGAGACAAAGGATGCTGGGAACGATGAGGACAAACCCAGTCTGAACCCTCAGGAACCACAACCCCAAGCAGAGCCCCAACAGGCCGATGCAGTGGTCTTTGATGGAGGTTTCTTTCAAGTGGAGAGCCCAGCCAAACCATCAGGTGGGAGACAAGTAACTACTCGACAGAGGCCTTGCTTTTCATGTCATGTGTCCATGTTTGTGTGTGTGTGTTGTGTTGCTGGACTAATAACTGTGTCGTTATGTTGTTTCTGTAGGTTCATTGAGGCGATCCAGCCGTTTGAGCGCTGCCATGCTGCCTCAGGCCTCTCCCTCCTCCAACTACCTCTCACCAAGAAGAGTCACTCGGCGATCCCTCGCACTGGCACAAACCCCCGTTCACACCATCTCCTCTCCTGCTCAGCCCGTCCACACTCCCGCCCACTCCCGTCTTACCCTCAGCCAAACCCCAGCACAAGCACCAAAGTCTCAGTGCGGCACCCCTCAGTCATCCCACACCAGAAAGGACACTGCAAATGTCTCCCTTTGTTTCTCACCTGTCAGAGAAGTGCTGTCAGATGGCACCCAGCCTGAAGGAAGCCCTGCTCAGCAGCCAGAAACAGTCTCAACACAGGAAAACACTGCTTCCGTTCCTGCATTGAGCACACCCATACCTGTACATTCACTTCCGTCCATTTCTGTGGTCGAGGAGCAAGATGAACCCTCTGAAGGTGTCGATGTTGACCTCCCTGTCTCTCCACGGCTTTCCCTCTCTCCATGCAAATCACCTCCAGCAGTCTCCCAGGCCCCAGAGCCCTCAGCATCTCTGAGTTTCATGTTGTCACCCTGTGTGACTCCCTGCCAGCCTCCCATTGCCCCCTCTCCTGCTGTGCAAGCCCAGCCATCTGTGTGTTATACTCCAGACAGCTCAGTTGTTGAGGTAGGGGCATTTTCAGTCCTCCTTTTTTTTTTTTCCTTTATTTTTTTTTTTTGTTTAAAAAATCTTAGTCCGGCCAGAAAACTTTACAACTAACAAGTTATTCTCTTGTATTATCAGGAAATTCCTGGGTTGGACTTTGAGCGTTACCTCCAGCCTTCACAGAGATGCAGCTTGTCACCTCGGGCCACGGTTGCCGTAGAGCTGTCCCCCATGGCAGCAGATATAGAAATGGAGAGTCCCAGAAGTCAGTCAGAGTACTTGCTTACTCAGCAGGAACCAGGTATGATTGATGCTTATAGCACTGTGCATGCACACACACACACTAGTTTGATGTGAGAAAAATTTAGGATTCATTTTTAAGAAATTTGGGTGGTACTAACTGCTTTTTTCATGCACTGAGCTTTGTTCTTACAGAGGTTTATTTTAAGCTGTTACACATTGTGCATCTTCACTCACTGTCATGCTCGCTTCTCACTGTTACCACAGCACATCCAGCGGTGTCTTCGGTGTTCACTCTTCAGTCACCACAGGTCAAAGATTTTCCTTTTTTAAAACTTTCTGTCTTTCTAAATATAGATTTTTAAATCCAATGGTAGTTTTTTTTTTCTTCATTGCAGTGTTCTTATTGCTGAATATTCTAACTGTATTTATGTTTGTGCATTTTTTAGGCCCAGACAGTCGAGTCTGACATGCTTCTCTTTACCCCGGACCTGAAGGACCGGATACGCCAGTCCATCTGTCCAAGTGACCTTATGGTCTTCACCCCTCCCCTCTAATGTGTAGCAAAGAGTTCTGTTACCTGCTGTTAAATCTTTTATTTTGACATACTGATTACTCTTTTTACTGTCTTTGAAAAAAAAAAGTATCTGAGTGAGTGTGTTTTATTTTTACATCACTAGAAAATAGTTTTGTCTTATAATTAAAGTTCAGGCTACAACAAGAAAATGACCGTTACTCTTCATTTACATCCAAACAGAAGTCAGCAGTTCACTCGATGCTTTTATTACTCACCATATTTAAAGGCTCTATTCATTCTGTTTGTTTTAAGATTGTGGAAAGTTCAAATACAGGATAGTGTGCTTCATCCTACATTCGTCAGGTTTCTCATTTCTCTTCTGAGACTTCTGTCATTCATCAAAGCTCCAAATGCCCCCTCTCCCTGTAACACAATAATACAGTACAGCCATGAAGACTACACATGTTGGTGGCACAATAGTGATGATTTGGGACTTGGTGGGGTCCACATCCAAGAGGCAGAGCTAATACTGGAATGGAAACTGCAGGCAGGACAGGTGATAAGGCGCCATCTGGTGGCTGTTTATGCATGAGAACTGTCCTCAATTTCTCAATACAAATTTTTATTGTAACATAAATTGAAATATTAACAGGGTGTCAGCAGATCCTTAAAATGTCTTGAATACAATTTTATTAATATTAGGACTTAAAAGTCATTAAATAGTCTCAAATTTGAATTTGTGATGTCTAAATTGCAACAAACATTTTATCTTGTCATTTATTGATCTTTTACTTTCTTTTTGTCAAAATGAGTCAAGCTCTTCTGCACGATGGTACACATTTCTGGTATTCTATATCTTTAAATCTACTGCTGAACCTAAAACTGTCCTTTTACTTTACAATTGCACTTAACCTGTTGTCAAAATATAGATTAAGCTAGCTCACTCCCATAACCATATTCTTAAATGAAACCTACCTCTGCACTGGAACACATGTATACTACTTGGCTTTATACTAACCTGCAACACTTCAATTAGAAAATCATATGTCTAATATCATTCTTAAATGTGGTTAAAAATTATCTTTAAAAGTAGGGCTGGGTGTTACATCAGTTCTGGATATTGTAATATTGCAAGTGTTGTATTTTCCTGGTTGTAAAGGCTGCATTACAGTAAAGTGATATCATTTTCTGAACTTGTCACCTGTTCTTTTATTTTTGTCTTTACCCACTTAGTCATTATATCCACATTACTGATGATTATCAAAAATCTCATTGTATAGCTATTTTATGAAATCACCAGTAGTCAACTCTGCAGCGTCAAAATTGAGATATTTGGCCAAAAATATTGTGACATTTCATTTTCTCCATATCACCCAGCCCTATTTTAAAGGTCTGACACCTGCAGACACACTGATTAAGCCTGTAATGCTGCATTCTATTTAGTTCAGTCAAAGTAAATGTATATTGGTGACATGTCAAATACAGAAAAGTGATTTTTCTTTGGATAACAAATAACTCATGAAACTTGTCTGTCAAACTCATATTCAGCCTCCACAATAGACTCAAACATGGGCTGTTTCACTTCAGACTGTTTCTACACTTGTCAACCAACAATGTACACAGTAAGGAAATCTCAGATTTAGTCCATGAAGTTTGTCCTTTGGTGGGAGCAAAATCACTTGTTAAATCTTAGGAGAAATGATACAGTACATACAGTATAAACTAATGCATTGACTGCATATTACAGTCAAATAACTAATTCCCTTAACTTGTAGTTCAGCAGAGGTGTTCTACCTGGCTCTTTGCTGGGCCTTGGCCAGAGCAATGTCTCTGGGCCTCCTGGCGGAGCTTCTCCTCCTTCATGTTATTAGACACTAACTGGTTATGTTCAAAAGCTGGGAAGAAAAAGTGGTTGAAGAATTGATGGATGTTTTTTTTCCAGAGCTCCACTTCACAGTCTTTGGTCTCCAGTCTATTGGTGTGCACATGTTTTCCTTCACCTCTCTGCCCTCTTGTGTGCTCTAGAGAAAATATGACTTATTATAATATGCATTAGACCAAACAATACATTATTTGAAAGAGCCAGAAAATATAGAGGAACAAAATATACCTGCAGACTGAGGTTTCTCACTGATTTCATTCACATGTTGTTGACTCTTCACTTCTTGGGCAGTGGATAATTCTGCTGAATCACTTGTCTATGATGAGAGCAAATATAAACATGAACAGATGGGGTGTAACAACACTGATATCAATACTTCTTTTTCTTTTTTTTGTATGAGAGTTTGCATGTTTCAACTAACCTCCACTGACTTGAGGTTGGAGATTTCAGGAGTGATGGTGGAGCTCAGTGAAGCTGCCACCTGGACAGAGAAAAATGAAAAAAGCCCTCGTGTTTAGTTTTCTTGTGCAGAATTCCCAGCTTTCCTGCATAGTTTTACAGTGTGCTGGAACAACTACACTGTACATAGAGTGGGTACGGGGTGCAGAGGCCATGGGGGGCTAGAGAAAGGAACTGACCGACTGAGTGGAGCTGTTTGCTGTCTGCAACATGTTCTCGCTGGATTCCACCTCAGGTTGATTCCTCCTGGCCTCAGCCTCAGGACTGGAGGGCAGCTTGCTTTCCTCCAGGTGTTCAGAAACCTGCTGACACTTCACCTCAGCAGAGCCCAGAAGCACCTCAAAAAACTCCAGGAATGTAATCTGAAGCAGGAGGAGTGGGACAACAACACAAGTGATACATAGGGGGGAAGGAGTGCACACAAAACAGTGAGATGAATGCTTATCTGTAAATGGGCACAAAAATATAATGAAAGAGTCAACTGGTGTACACACTCTACCTCCAGATCCAGACAGGCAGACAGATTGCTGGGGTCATGGCTCTCTGCTGTGATGATCTGCAACAGTCTCGCTGTGGTCAGGTTGCTGTCCAGCAGATGGAGATCCTGACCGGAGTTACAATAAAATATCCAAATGAATAAATGTACTGAACGCTGGTTTGTTTTTCCAATCATACAGGGTTCAACGCTAAGTTTTTTTTTTTCACTTGCCCGGTTGGGCAAGTTGGTCAGAGATCTACTTGCCCGAAGTCAGTTTTTACTTGCCCTATAAAAATTGTTTAATTTAAGCGGCTATCAATTAACAAAGACTGCAGTTATTTTCATGTTATGCAATCTTTATTCACACTGTATTTATTAATTAAAACAACATATGTCATGTATTGTAGCTTAATTCCTACACAAATATGACAGTGTCAGGGCTTAAAGTGAAAAATTTGTCAATCGTTCTCCGTCTATAATTTTGCGCCCTACTTGAGCCATGCCCACCTCTATTTATTTTTCACCCCTCTCTCCAGTTCTGCTGTATTAACACCGGGTTTAATATATTTTGCTTCCATCTCTCTGCCCTGCTCTACTCTACTTCAACGCTACTTAGCTCTCTCTCTACTCTACCAGTAGACTACCACATCCACCTATTGCACAAAACGCACACAGCAGTGTTTCCCCTAGGATGGAGTTGTAGCAGCGGAGGTGAAGCACACGCATGAAAAATAATTTTCACATGCGTGAAACTTTTTTGTATGCTTGCAAAGCACAGCCTGCTGGGATGTTTCTGTGTATCTACTGGCACCAGAAGGGCTCTTTAGGACTAAGTGCATACAGTACATGTGTGCACAGTATGAGCAGGTGAAATGTCTGTCTAGCTTACATATGAGGTGTCTCAAGATTTAGGAACATACAATTGTATTGAATATAATAACAGTAAAAAGTCACTTGACATGCTGCTGTTTTGTGCCATGACCTATTTAAGTGTTGGAAGTTGTTATTTACGTGACAACGCCTGAATGCAACACAAGCTCAGCAGGAGTGCCGTGCTGCGCTGCTCTGCGAGCAGTGTGTTTGTCTGTGCGTAACAGCAGTCTGTTGATGTTTATTTACACAGTGTCCATAACAATAACTTCGTCAGCTGACAAACTGCACCGGGCTCGGGGTCAGGTTTGGTCAGGAAAATGCGGCCCGAGCCACTCTAGCGTGCTCACCTGTGTGTGTGTGAACTCCGCCGTGCGCGATACAGAGAGCAGAGGAGAATTGTTAACGTGTGACCATGTAGAGACAGAAATGACACGATGACATAACACCATAAATAGTATATTGTTATGTTATTATATGAAGCGTTCGTCGCGCAAAATAATATCAATGGGGGCTGTGGGCAGGACATTGTTACACAGCTGTGCCTGTGACTTCAGGCAGAGAGACCGCTGCATCAGAGCCGAAGGAGCACGTTTTAAAATACATTTATTTTATCAATTAGTTATTAACTTTTACTATTTTTTGGAACTTGCCCGACCGGGCAAGTGAGTTTACATGCCCGACCTTGAGTTTTACTTGCCCTGGGCAATCGGGCAATCCTTATTGTTGAGCCCTGTCATATGATGTTGATTTAAAAGTCTAGTGTGTAGGAGTTAGCGGAATCAAGCAATGAAGTTGCAGAACTGAAACTTCTCACTTATGCCAAGCGTATAGGAGAACTACAGTGGCAGACACGAAAACGTGAATGGGTCAATCTAGCACTCAGAATTGAGCAGCCGTCTAAAACAGAACAGAAACTGCATTCATTTCTTTTGTTAAACTGGTCAAATAAATATAAGAAGCAGTTATGTGCATGGTAATCTTTGTGTTACCGTCTATTGCACCTTGAACATCCACAGCAGGTGTCGGCAGGTCATGGTCTGGTCATCTCTGGGAGCTCCACTCGCTTTGCAGTGAGCCTGATAGACTTCCCAGCACTTCTTTAAGTAGCTCACAGTAACCACTGCACAGTCTGGCTGCCTGAACAGGAAACCTGGATCAACACAGCTGTAGTTAATGAGAACGACAACTACTGCATAATACAGAGCTAAGCAAAGGTGTTCAATCAGTTTATGTAAGTGTTTCGCATCTTCACTCTTCTTTGCAGGTTTGCAAGTTCTTCCTTCATCTAATGTGTGTGTGTGTGTGTGTGTGTGAGAGCCTATAATATTACATTGTTCGCACCTTTTACATTCTTAGCATTAGGAAGGATGTTGTCTGTCATCAGTCTGGAAAAGCAGGCAGCCAGAAGGTTTTTTTGTGACCTGCAAAAAGAGGAGAAGTGATGTTTCTTATGTCAAAATCAGATCAGTAATCTCTTCTCAAAACTGTGTCCTTGTGTAATTCCTGCTGGGGTTGTTATTTTGTGTCCCCATGTTGCTTTCTGAGTGAAAACTTTGAAACTCTAACATCACTGGTGTTCATTTATAGCTTGAATAACACCTATGCTTTTGGCTAAATGCTAAAGTCACCAGGCTATGCTCACAATTACAATGCTAACATGCTGCTGTTAAGCAGCTATAATGTTTACCATGTTCACCAACTTAGTTTAGTGTGTTAGCATGCTAATCTGCTAATTAATACAACTACAAAGTACAGCTGAAGCTAATGAGGAATGTGATTTTTTGCAGGCAGTCATAAAACAAACTACTAGACAAGTCAAAATTCTGACCGGATGATTGTGTGTACAGATAACTTAATTGTAGCACTATAGTTAAAGTCAGGGGATCATTACAGTCATTAGGATTTATCCTCTAGGGACCTTGAATGTCTCCACAACATGTCATGGCAATCTATCCATTAGTTGTAAAGATATTTCAGTCTGGCTCAAAGTGATGGACCAGCTGACTGACTAATATTGCCATCCCTAGAAGCATGGCTAAAAGACTGCTTTTCTTGGATACTTAAAAGCTCAAAATTACTCAAGTCATCCCTTACACCATGTCCTTATGGTAGATGTGGTAGGCCACAACCACTAGACAGCTGAGGAGCTGGCGCAGAAGCATGGGAGTGTAAGGAGAGTGGATGTCTGCTGTTGTCGCATCCTCTGAGACACACAGAGTAAAAAAATTAAGTACAAAAATACTCTAATTATGAACCAATCACTGTCCTGTATATGTGAGGTGGATCAAGTATGTGAGAGAGTCTAAGTGCTAGTTCTTCTCACCTCTGATTAAATGATCTATCTGTGTCAGAGTGATGCCCTGATGGTGGACGTTACAGTCTTTGAGCAGGCGCCACAGCTGCAGGCGGGACAGCAGGAAGGTGTTATCAGGGGAGCGGGTGTGGCCAAGTCTGCTGTAGAAACTATAGATGGACCTGAGCTCTCTGTCTTGCCTCAGCACCACAAACTCCACCTGTTACACGAGTCAGTGTGAGGCAGGAACTGGGGTGAAAATAAAACAGGGTTCCTACAGCTTAAGGCAAGTCACACAAGTCAGTTTTACAACAACCAAAACTAAAGTTAAAAAAACATGAACCAGCATCAGTTATGGGGGATTGAGGACAATTTTGTCCATGTGTTTATTGTAACAAAACATATGACAGAACTAAGAAATACCTGTCGATTGGTGGCTGTTTTTTTTTAAGCGATTTTGTGTCTCACTGCAAGTGGAATTCCACCGCCATCACGCTGAAACTTTCTGCATAAATACACTGAGCCTCCTATGAGTTACCTTAAGCCAGTTTCAGCCATAAAATCTTTTTATTTATTTAAGATATTTTTTGCCTTTAATCGACAGGAGAGTGAAGTGTGAAGGGGGAGAGAGAGAGGGAGAGACATGCAGCAAAGGGCCACAGGCTGGACTCGAACCCGGGCCGCTGCGGCAACAGCCTTGTACATGGGGCGCCTGCTCTACCACTAAGCCACCGACGCCCTCATGCCATGAAATCTTGGTAAAATAGCTATTTTTTGTTAAATATACACTTCTCCATGTTGTCCAGAGTACAGTGACAGATAGCTGAATGTTGGTTCTGCTACCTTGATCTGGATTTTACATCAGAAAAAATGATTCATACAGTCCTACTTCCCATGCTTTGGAAGATTTATTTAAGACATTTTCATACCAATAACAACTGAGTTTTTATAAATGAATGAATTCAGTGCCTTTTAAGACTTTTTAAGGATCTGCGGGAACCCTGTAAACATCATATGTTGACATTGTTGCAGTGTGAAGTGGGACCTGACCTGTTTACGCTCCGTGTCGCGCTTTCTCTCTGGGATTTTCTCCAGAAGACATTCAATGTTCAAAGTCATGTCTGGTCCCAAGATAGATGAAACTGTAATAAGATACAAAATTGTAAGCCATTGTACTGTGTGTGATTTCAGACTGTGACACTGTTATTTATCTCCTTGACAAACATTTTAAACAGAGGTCATGTACTATAGGTATTTTACCAGGTGGAGGAATAGGATCTTTCTTCCCATTCAGGTTGTGCATTGTCTGATGGTCCAAACACTCTCCTTCAAAAACACGCCCATCCTCGAAAGTGAATTTCCCCTATGAACCATACAATCATTTTTAGAATTCTTGGAATTACATACATGTGTGTATTACAGGTGAGCACTGACTTTAAAATGGATGCCAGGTTTTTCACCCTGAATTAACTGAATTTAGGGATATGTGTATTTCACTAAGAGAGGCAATACTGTGATTAACCTTCCCATGTTTTTTATTCATCCTCCATTCTTGTTCGTAGATTGCACCACCAGCGTAGTAAAAGGTTCCCTGCCCATGCCTCTGACCCTGAACAAAATCCCCTGTGTACTGATTGCTCTGGGAATACTGAGATCCGTCTGCTCGCCTCAGGATCCAGGTGTGTGTGCCTCGTCCATGCTGCCAGAGAGCAGAGCATAAACAGGTTTTAAGGAGGATAAAAAGCAATTGTCCTGGAGTGCAATATGGATATTTTGCAATCAGTGGTGTGCTTTGATACCTGGACTCCGTTCTGCCACATCCCAACATACTGCTGTCCCAGCTTAAGCCACCTCATCGTCCCCTCTCCATGTCTCAGGTTGTTCTTCCACTCACCAGAGTAAGTGTTACCAGACAGGTAGCTGTTGGGAAACAGATGTCACCTTTGGGAAGTTCAAATGTAACTCTGGTTACAGATAGGATGATGTTCTCCATACGTACCGTCTCACTCCCCATCCCTCTCTGTTGTTCTTCACCCAGTCTCCTTTATACCAAGAGGTCTTATCCTGGTTATAAAACACCGTACCCTGACACAAAAACACCCAGTTACAAAATTAAATCTTAAAAAAGAATCTGATTTTAATTGGTGGATCATACCTTTCCGTGCCTCTTGCCCTGATCCCACTTCCCCGTGTATGTCACTCCATTTTTTGCACATTTGTAAGTTCCAGTCCCATGTCGTATACCGTTGTACACTTCACCCTTATAAGAGCTGCCGTCCGGCCAGGTGTAGGCGCCCTGGCCCATGGGCTTGTTGCACACAAATTCTCCCTGTTGGATTAAAAAGTCACTTTATTACTCCATTAGAACATTTATTACCCCTGTCATATTATTTTACCTTGCTCAAGTTTGTACACTTGGGTTACTGTAAAGTACTTTCTTTCAAAAACACTCAGTAAAATGTAAGGTCATTGCAGTTATAGTATGTGATCATTGTAGCCTACCTCATATTTCAATCCACCTGCCAGTGTGAGGATACCACATCCATCCATAAGTCCCTTGGAAAACATCCCCTTTAGACAAACAAAGAGACATTATGAAATAGTTTTATTTATCCTTATAGAAATTAGAGCGTCAAACACACATTTCCTGTTGAGAATATATTTTAAGCCATGTTAAAATGTATTCCTGTTATTGTATTACACAGGAGCATGACAACCAACTGCATTTAAATATATAGGTTAGCAATAAGGGAAGATGGGGTAAGATGCCCCTTTAAAAGATTTTCACTTCTGTGCAATTATAACACAATTAGCAACTCTGTGAAGTTATTTTAACCAACAGTCTGTTGGTTTATGCATCATCATCCTGCACATCTGCCCTGCAAAGGAGTGGTTTGTTCAGCTGAACACACTATAGGCCCTGCCTATATAATGCCTAAAGGATGTTTATACCAGGTGCTGCCAAAATAAGGCCAGGAAAATCATTAAGGATCCCAGCCACACGGAAAACTGCCTTTTCTTCTTGCTATGATCGGGAAGAAAGTACCTGTTACACAAGGTACACCAAGAAGTTCTGGAAGAGCATCAACCCTCAGGATGTAGGGATCCTGAATGAAGACTGTGTAAGACCCCATTCACCCCCCATATTCTTATATTAATTATTATTACACTTTTTTGAATATATAAATTGATGCAAGTGATGGTTTGCATTTCCCTTCTTATGTTTTTATCTGACAAATAAATTGATTTAATTGACTGACTGACATGCTAAACTCATACACAAATGTGTCTTAATTTTACATTTAATTGACTTGGTTCTTTTTTTTTTTTAACCTTTATTTATCCAGGAAGTCCCATTGAGATTGAAAATCTCTTTTATAAGAGAGACCTGGCCAAGGTAGCAGCCAATCCAATAAAGCCAATAAATTTTAGATCTTTTTGAAGACTGCTCCATGTTCTTGAGGGAGGCGTTTCCCAATCCTACCCTTCAATTTTATGCAGTTTCAAATAATTTGAATAAAGACTATTGTTGAGCCCACTGAAATATATTAGTGGTGGTTTAAAATAAATTTAAATATACTTCAAAACACTTATTTTATTTGGTTTAAAGGCACAATTTTAATTTAAGTAAATGGGCAATTAAATAGGCTAATATTCTACAATGCAAGTAGGTTGTGCATTTACTGTATTGTAAAATCAGACATATTGTCTTTCCGCGTGGTTTCAGAATGTATCTTGTTTGTAATAATACCTTGTACACATGGCCTCCTTCAAAACATGCAACCCCTTCTCCATGAAACCGGCTTTCACATGTTTCCCCTTCGTATCTGTCAATAACACCACAAACTTTTGTCAAAATGGCGCCTCAGGTCACGGGTCCCAAATTCATGAGTGCATTAAAAATAATTAAGCTTAATAAATGTTTTGAGTAATGACTTACTTTTGTACAATTAAGCAAAAAAGTGTGGGAAGTTCATAAATGTCGTCTTCTACAGGCTGCTCATCACTGTCAGGACGGTCATGGAGGTCAGGTTGGTTCACTGTTAAACCAGCAGAGCAGCTCTCTGACTTTATTTTTTCATCTTCCTCGGCTGTATGAGGCAGCTCTGAATTACCGCACGTCTTCTCCTTTTCCTGTTGATCGTTTTTTATCGTCGTTTTCTTCTTTTCCTTCCCTTGTGCCATTTTGCGCCGTTTATGTACCTCTCGTGCGAGCAAGGCTTCTCTCCATGGTAACGGTGGAGGACGCTTACAACTACGGCACGCCGTATTAGTCAAAAAGGTTATACAGTGAACATACTGCCAGAGCTCTAATAAAACACACAACAGAAAGTGATATATCTTCTTTATTTACCCTGTTAATTGGGTGCTAAAAATATGAAAAATATAATTTTGTGACGCAAAATACAAATAAAAGCAACACTAAGAACAACACACTGAACAGTCAATGATTTGAACTATACAAAACTACAGTATCTATGGTTTGGATTCAGTCTTCTCCTTATCAGATGGCTGGCAGAAACAGGAACATTAAGCCGGTGTAAATTAGAGTTGTTCCTTGACATGATCAGTCTTGTGAGATGATGTCCAGGTTGGTGAGGTGTCTCATGGTAGGCCTGCCGTGAGGACAGTTCCATGGATGCTCAATCTCCCCCATATGCACCAGGAGCTTCTTCATCTCACTGACACTCAGAGCAGTGCCAATCATTACCTGAAGACGTACAAAGGCAAAACAATAGATAATGTGTCAGGAAAATAGGAATGGTGTTCAATTAGGCTACAACAAAACTGAATAACAAGTAGTCTTCTTGTAGCTATTTAAAAAGGGCTATCACAATGTTTTTACATTTTAGAGACAACATATCACAACACCTTACATAACTACCAAAACTTAAAGTTTTATATTATTTGATCTTCCATGCAGCCATTTCTTTCCACTAATTTCAGTAGAGTATTAAAATGAACTTGCAGAGGTTCAAAAGTTTTGAGATATGAACTTTTTTCATTAAAATTACCAATATAATTGCAATGACTATTTAATTTAATAAACAGCACACATTAAATTCACAAGTCCAATGACTTGTGAATTTAATGTCCAATGACTTGTGAATTACAACAAAATATGACTACTATTAAAAATGAAAGTACATGAGAATCGAAGAGAAGACAATGGCTGCTGAGAAGACAGACAAAAAATGTTTTTTAAGTGGTAAGTGGTAGTAATTGGATGTAAATTACTCAAACATACAAGAACATTTGTGTAGTTCTGTAATTACAACAGAATAAGGCGGGAAAAAAATATTCTGATGACTGCTGATCCTAATCTAGAGCCCAAACCTATTCTGTGAAGATACATGAAAACTCTTGAAACTGTCTATTTATTACTCACAGATTTTCGACAAGCTCGAGAGGCAAACATCTGCCTGACGCGTGATGGTCGACACATGACCCCCGGGCTGTCGCTCAACATGAAGATCAGCTCTTCAATGTCAGCTGGGCCAAATGTCCAGTTTTTACTGGTGGGCAGAGACACCAGCTTAACTCTTTCCATAACCTGAGCTGCATTCATGGTAGAAAAGTTGATTTAGTATTAAAAAATCATCATAATAATTCATCTTAACCTGAGATAAAATCAACTCATATTTAAATGTTCATACCATCCTCATCGATAATAAATTCAAAGCCATTCTTTCTGAAGATCTCAATGTTCTCCATGAGTATGTTTTCACTGACAGCAGTGAGGTGAAGCTTCTGAGGGCTGCGAACATAAAGGAAAAACAAATGTCAGTAAGAGGGCCATTTGTAACAATGGAAGGCAAAATTCATCAGCTGATTTAGGTTCTTACACTATGAGATTCTGTCCCTGGAGCACAGTGTGCTGCTGCAGCATCTCAAAGTTGTATTTCTCATCTGTGGCATGCTGGTCAATCATGAATATGTCTGAGTTGAGTTTGGCGATAATGAAGCCCAGGTTGAACTGGCCGATGATCTCCATCTGTTTGAACATGTCTTTACTACAGAGATGAAAGAAAAATATATCAAGTGTTGTGTTTCATTTCATCCACAAAATGGCCAATTATTTAGCATGTGTTATGTTGAATTTGTGAGGAAAACTTAACAGAAAAACTATATCAAAACATCAGTTTACAAACTCTCACACAACTCATGCAGTATCACCCAAGTCCCATTTATCCAGTCTGTGTTTAGTACGTCACAAACACATGCATTTTCAGTATAACATTGTGATTTAAAACACTTCTCGTTTTTGAATTCAACATAACGTGAGTTTTGCTGATGAAGTATTGTTTATTAGCACATCCAGTGGTAGTTTAAGGAGTAAAATCCTACCTGATCTCCTTCTTGAGCTCTTCCTCTGCACTTTGATTTTCTCCAGGGTTGATTTTGGCCCTGAAGCGGCGATAGCACAGTTCCTCATCAGTCCTCTGTTTCTGCCGGTCCTCTAACCTCTTAAACTTCCCCGCCAGCTCTTGTAATGAGAAGTGGAGAGGCACCGTCCTCTTCTGAATGCAGACTGGAGCATCCACCGTCGAGGAGGATTTATAACAAGTGTTGGATTTGTGTTCTGCTGGGAAATGTGGTTTCTCTGTCCTGGCCCTCTTGGCATCTGGGCTCACAGTACAGTCCTCACTGGAAGTGCACGGCTCAGTCTGTAACTCTGGATCTTCAGGAACAGTGTGACTGTTCTCTGACGTTTCTTCCAATGTTTCATTTTCAACACTGTCAGTGGCTGGTTCAGGAGAGCTGAACTCACGGCCAGAACACTGATTATCTGGTGTTGCTGTGGTGACGTCACAGCTGGACACAGTGCTGTCTTTTTCAGAGTCTGTATCATCACTCATCCTTCCGTACCTAAACCCATCTAGCACTGATTTTCCCACTGGGGACGGTTTAGTGAGATGTCTTGTGGGTTTCACAGGAGATGTTACAGTTGGGCTGCAGGCTGGAGGTTTGCCTGTAAAAAAAGACTGTAGTGTTTTCTGTGTGTTGGCAGCTTTTGCCACACCTGATTTGTTCCCAAAATTGGAGCTTTTATGGCTTGAAAAGGCAGCTTTTAAGCCGGCAAGGTTGAGGGACGACTTTGGGCTCTGAATCACTGGTTCCATATCCTCTCCAGGTTCTGGCATGTTCTCATTAGATGGAACAACCTGACAGATTTTTGATGTTGTATCTAGAGACAAGTGACAGAAAAACAGTCCAAATAAAATGCTAAAAAATCTCTCAGTGATATAACATTGCTATAATATCAATATATACATCTTATATTTTGATATGCTGGGCTAAATGTAATGATCTGTTCTTACTGGTGCTGGGTATGGGTGTATAGTTCAGGCTGATCTTATTGACTCCAGCCTCATACATGTTTATGAGAGAAGTCTTCAGAATAGCCAGCAAGAGTTTCTCCTCCTGAAGGAAGATCTGTCGCTTGTCCGGGGTTACGTTCACGTCCACACACTCTGAAATAACACCACAAAACCCTCATGTAGGACAGAAAATCAGCAGGGTGTTTCAGAAATAGCTTTACAGTAATTTTCTTACCAGAGGCAACAGCTATGTTCAAGGCGACAAATGGATACTGATGTCTGTTGTACATATGGTACACTTCATTCACAAGTTTGGTCACCTGCAAGTTGAGAAAAAAAACATAGACTAGGCTAAGTTTTCATTTTATGACAAACACTATACATCAATAAACATTTAAAATGTCCTTTTATCTGCTTACAACAAGATTAAAGTGTGTTATAACGCATTATTAAATGTTTAAATGCTAGATAGAGGTACTTAAACTGTACCTTAAGAGGATCACATGGCCGATTGTTAATGAAAAAGAACTGCCTGTCTGTGGCACTTCTCCCAACACCGTGGTCCCCTCGTGACACAAACCCTGTAATACTGCCAAAACAGAGTTTTTAATTTAAAAAAAAAAAAACAGCTTGTTAGCAGAAAAAGATTGACAGAGGGCTTCCATGCTTTGGTGTCACTCACGAAAAAAGCTGTTTGGGTAAATCTGCTTCTTTGAGTCCGTATTCTTCAATAATATTTTCTGCTGGAGACACTTGCTGAAAAGGCAGGAGACTCTGTAGCTGCAGAACACACACGGGGAAAAATAAGAATATTAGCAAACCAATGAGGCAATTTCACTAAACAATTTGCAGATTTTACTTGAACTTATGAATCACACACTTCCTCTAAGGGCTGAGGAAATTCTTCAACTATTTGATTTTGACTTAAACAACAATCAGCAGTGGTAGAGTCAGACTGACACCTTCTGCAGATTGCAGATAAACAGTATAGTAAAGGAAAGTGTGAAAACAATCTTTCAACCTGTTTTGGTCCAAATATGGCCCCTATGTTGTCTCTCATACTCTGGCTGCCACTGGTGCTGAGGACTGTGCTGCGCTTTCCCTGCCCATTTTGGTTGGAGCAGGTAATGCGCACTCCTGTAGAGATGACACAGTAGGACTGCAGCACATGGAGCATTTTTGCATACTCCTGAAAATACAGAATGATAAAATATTTGGGATTATAGATACAAAATGAAAGTGACCATTATGATTACAAGTTATATTATGTTCTCTACTTGCTTCAAATCACAAGAATGACTGACCTTCTTAATATTGCGCTGGAACTCCTTGTGTCGAACAGGCAGGGTGTAGAAGAGCTGCTGCAGGCTGACTGTGGTGCCTTGCTGCCGGGGATGGGGTGACCTCTGCACTAGGTGGCCTTTTTGGTCAAACACCAGCTTGGTCCCCACCTGGCTGGACTCATGGCACGTCACCACACTCAGGTCACTGAGGCAGGGGGTCGGAGGGAATATTAAGTGATGAGGTGACAAGTAGAATAGGTGTATGTGCCAAATGAATGTGGCTGTATAAGTGTTTTACCTCAGAGCGCACAAAGAGCTGAGGGCTTCACCTCTGAAACCAAATGTTTCCACATGGATGAGATCAGAGAAATCCCTCAGCTTTGATGTGTGATGCTTCAATGCTGCAGGACAGACGCAAGAGGTTTCACTTAGAGATTAGGCAAATTTTTAATGGCATGGTGGAGATAAACACAGCTGACACTTACTCAGCCCTTCAAAGTTGGCCTCTTCTACTCCTTTGCCATTGTCTGACACCTCCACGAGTTCAGTTCCACACTCCTTCAGCCTGACATCTGGAACATGCAACATGACATTGAAATTTGTACTCTTTTTTTGGCCAAATTAATATCCCCTATTGCACTGGACTGTGAAACATAATTACCTTGACATTTTCAGCTTTTAAAAAACATACTTACCAACGTTGGTAGCCCCTGCATCGATGCTGTTCTCCACCAGCTCCTTGACAGCTGTGGACAAAGTCAGCACCACCTGTCCTGAGCAGATCTGATGCACTGAGTGCCTGTCAATGGCCTTGATGGCTCCTGCAGGTTCAGAGCTGCCAACAAGAAAACACACACTCGGTGACAATGATGTATAACTTTACCCGCTTCTAACTGCACACTGCAGCAACAGATTCATTCATGTACAGATGTTAAAAGCTCCTTACACCCTGTGTTCTCTGATCTGTGATGAATACATTAGGATTGTGGGAACGTCAGGTGACATTACTCTAAAATGCATGTCAATTATAGTAAGTTATAGTTGGAGAGTTGGTTGCCATGCCGAATTGTAGAGTATATCCACATTATTCATGTCAGCACGTTACTTTCTTTAAAATATTTACTGATAGCCTAATATTACATCATAATACATAAATAGGCAGATTTTACAGTGAAGTTTGGTACAGGTTGAAGTAAACCCACATGACAACGAAAAGGACTGGGCCTAAAATGTAATACGTGTCTCAAAATGACAATTGCATGGTGTCACTAATATATCTGCAAGCAAATTCACATTAAATAAATACTTTGGTATCTAACTTACCAAGCATCAGACATCTTCAAGGGCTGAAATGCTTCAGGAGGGATTCATTCAAATTATGATAAATGACTTAATCTGAAACACCGAAAGTAAAACAAACCAACTAACATGTTACCATACATACAAATGGAGCTGGGGTTTTTAAAACTAACTGGTACGGCAAAAATTCCCATGCAACAGCTTCACCACATCATGTTGTAAACACAAACGTGAAGTTGTACCGCGCGTACGGCGCAGACTGTTCGCGAGAGTCACCCGTGCGCGAAAGAATGCAGGTTGAACATTAAAAACTATAAAATGTTGAGTGTGTGAAACAGCAACCTCACAAAACAAGCACAACAAACACTGATATCAGAATATAAAACAATATCACTTTACGTAAAAAAGTATTATTAAACCGTTGCCTCAAATTATGTCGCGTTTCATCATCGGATGAACCGACCGGAAGCTGTGACCCATCAAGATGTTAGAGCGCGTGTGCATTTCTCTCACATTGTTAAACACGAAAAAATATATATTTTCCTGTAGAATCAGTGGTTTGAAGCAGTTCGATTATACTCCAATAAAAATAGCACTTATGTTAATTTTATACTGTAATTTTGAGGGAAACATCCATTAGTTAACATTGTAAGTTAAGCACATACATTGTCAGAGGGTCCCTTTTTGGCCGTTGAATCATGGCCGTGTAGTAACCATATGGTACCCGTGAGAGAAATCTTTCACCGACCTGCCAGACAGATTCATACAATGTAAACACTTGGGAAGGAAGGATTTAGCATGTCGTCTGACGCGGTTTACTGTAGCTTTGAGGAAGCTGTCGTGAACTGGGCTGCGTTTTAAAAATAAGTACTATTTCTGTCAAGTCATCATTTTTTGACATTCAGAAAATGTTCAGTTCAACCTCCAACAACGGACTCCTGAAGTTGGAGGAATGTTCTGGAAGCAGCAGTAACCTTTTGGTCCTGCGCAACATTAATCCCCTCAGGATTCACGAGGTGGACAGTAATGTTAGCCTGCTAAATTTGGCAAGCGAAGAGGACGATGAAGTCCAGTTTGACAGTAAGCAGCTTTCTTTCTTCCGCTATGTTGCTGCCTAACGTAACTATGTTTACTGAGCCTTACTGAGCTGGTTTTGGTGGGTATTATCCTATTATCCTACATTACCTGACACACTGACACCAGGCCAAACAACAGAAATTGATATACAGGGGCGTAGTTGAGGAATTATAGGCCATGTGACCAGAGTCATTCTGAGCCCCCCCCCCCCCCCCCCCTCCACACACACACACACCTGTTGTAAAGTGCCCATCCTACCCACACACACTGTAAAAATTCTGAAAATAAAATAAACATAAACATACTGAAAATAAATTAACAACTGAACATAGATACCACAATGTCACCCACTGGTTCGTGACCCTCCGTTTTGAAGCCTCGAGTTTTGCATTTCGGTCATCACCATCTTGGTTTTTTTTTTGGAGCCAGAAGTGATCGTATTGGGGCGAATGTTAGGGGTAGATCTGACGCTATGGGCAGACAGCCTTTCACCCAAAAAGCCTTGTCCTGGTTAGTTATAAAAATTCACCCATGTCATGAATGTTTAAATGACCTATAGAGACCGAAACCATTTTTTGTTCCAGGCCATAAACATATATTTCTGCTGTTAAATTCGGCATTTTAACATGGGCGTCTCTTGTGGAGCTAGCCTCACGTGGCCATTCAGAGAACTGCAGTTTTTGGCACTTCTGTGTTGGCTTCTTTTTTCAGCTCTGGAGGTTGCGGCTTAATCCTACCATTACTCCAGCTTTAAAAAACACCCATGTCAGTTTATCTAATGCCACAGCAGACAAATAGAGGTGTAACGATACATCGATCTGGATTGATATATCAATTCAATGAACCACAATCCAGTATTGTCAATGCAAAGTGAAATATGGATACATATGATCATCTTCAAAATACGCCTTTATTATGTCAGATTGTCATGGTATGTCTGTGTCACCACTTCTGTCTGAGCGCACCTCCTTCCCAAACATTCAAACAGTGCTAGCAGCCTAGCGCCAGGCAGACAGTGTCAAGCAGTCAAGAAAAAGACAATGAAAATATTTACTGATATCATCTCATACCAATCAGAGGCCAAGGCCCCTGGATTAAATCGAATCAAAATTGTAAAATGGCAGACTTTGTGATATCAAGCAACCATTGTGTCTTTGACCAAAGAATTTATATGATATCATATCATGATGACCTTGTGATTCACACACCTACAGACAAATAAATCAAGCCACTGAATCCTGTGCTTTTAAAAAAGCAATGAAAAGTCAGTTGCTTCAGTTTGCATCTATGTTCATTTTGTTCAATGGGTTAATAAGAAAACATGGCATCTGCAGCTGTTAAAAGAGTTAATTACTCTCCACACCTGTCCAATGTGTGTCCAACACACATTTCACAAATAAAACTCATCTGTAACTCAATTTATGGGTTTTTACTTTTTATTTTATATACTTTATTAAAAAAAAAAAAATTTTTTCACTCTTTTGTCATTAACACACAGGTCCGAAAGACACACACATGCACAAACAGGACCTATACATGCACAAAGTGGAGAGATGTCAGAGTGAGGGGGCTGCCTTGGTCAGGTGCCCCGAGCGGTTGGGGGGTTCAGTGACTTGCTCAAGGGCACCTCGGCAGTGTCCAGGAGGAGAACTGGCATCTCTCCAGCTACCAGTCCACGTTCCATATTTGGTCCGGACGGGGACTTGAACAGACGACCCTCCGTTTCCCAACCCAAGTCCCTATGGACTGAGCTACTGGAGTAACCAGCATCAACCATCCATCCCGTCATTCAGAACCTGTAAAATGAGATAACAGAAGTATATACCACAGTATATAACATTAGAAGAATGTGATATGGCTATTGTGCTATTTCTGTTAATACAACCCGAATCAACAGGCTTAAAGCTACAGAACTTAACCTTTTTAGCAATTATTATATCATAACTATCACTATATCTTAAGGTGTATCTTATCTTATCTTATCTATCTTGACAACATGCACGAAGAAGACCGACAAGTACAAACTTGCTTTCGTGAGTAGGCGGAGCCAACAAAACATAATTTATCTGTCTCATGTATGAAGATATGTATATATAGTGACAGGTATAAAAAATAACTGTTGAAAAAGTGACATACTGTAGCTCTAAAGACTTTGACCTTGATGGTTAGGGATAGACAGGAATAGCAGCATCTCTGTAAGTTGCTCAAGCAATTTGATACAGGGCGTTGATGAAGTAGGAGGACTTGTACAAGACAAATTAAAAATAGAGTGGTTAAAATTGAAGCAATGGATGAACATCCAGATATTTTGTCCTTAGTGTGAGTCAAGGTTCAAGATGGGTGGATGCTATATTCCCTATAATGCAGCTTAAATGTTTTCACAGACTGAGTAGGCTGCTTAATAATGGCAAAAATCATAATGACGATTTGATCAATATTGAGATCACTTTGAGTATTGTCTTTAGAGACATAAAGCATTAATTTTACCTAAAACAAACAAACATCAATAATGATTATCTTGTTTTCATAATTGTTGGAAGCTGAAAACTGAAAAAGACATTGAATTAATTTCCCAGCCCCACTGAGTTGGACTCTATACTCTCTATACCCAGTAAATTGACCATCATGTATAAAATTGGTGGAGTGCCCCTTTACCCTCTTATAGAAACTTGCACTTGACACATACGTTTGCATGGGTGTAGTGGAGGCGTGTAAATATAGACAGTGTGCTGTGGGGGGGGCAGTTGCACTGGGGCCCATGAGGTGAGGGGGCCCATAGAGAGAGCGGGCTCTCTTACAATATATAGGGCAGAAAACAAGGCCTTATGGGTAATTGAGATTGCCAGGTTAGATAGACGCGTGTGCTGAAAAAAAAAATCACATTAAATAAAAAATAGTGCCATTTGCTAGGTTGTATGCCCTTGAAAAGGCAAACCTATCCCCATCATTGTTTTTTTTTTGTAACAGTCAGTAGCATTCTATAAAAAATATTTTATGCTAATTCTACAAGAACTATAGATAAAGTATAAAGAAACTATTCAGTTATGTGGATAATTCCTTATATTCTTTGGTATTTTGTCTGATATGTGTAAGTGATGATTATTTCTGGGTAGTATTTGGTGTTATGCAATGTCAAGTCTCCATTTGATCATGTGACAAGACGGTAAGATTACACAGTAACTAGTTTAGGTGCATAAATAGTGTGCCAGCATGCACTAGGGCCTGTTGTAACTTCCTTATGCCACTGCTGTAGTGACATCATCAGGATGTAAGATCAAGTCCAGGTTGCCTTACCAATGAGTTTCTGTTTCAGAACAAGTCTAGACTTGTCCCTCCACACATCCTGTTGTATGCTGAAATGAGAGTCGCACAGCAGAACAGTCTCCTCTTTACATTCTGGCTCAGTAACGGTCTCAGCCTGGTCATGTGTTTACAGTCAGTGTTTGAGTAGTACAGTAGGTGGAGGAGGCTGGTGTCCACTGGACCAGGCAGATAAGCATTACTGCTGTGCACGCCCCCTTATGTATAAACAAGATGTGCTCAATTTTTGGTCAACAGGATAATCATTAGTACAGCTCTGAGTGCTTAATATTGGACCAAGGGTGTTTTTGTACAGAAAAAAATGGACCTAAGAGACAAAAACATTGTTGCAATGATTGCAAAAGTTATTGAGGAAGGTAAGACTACGAAGAAGATATTGTTGTGGTTGTATAATATTTTTTTTTAGTGGGTCCAGCAGAGACAAATTTAATTTAAACTGTAGTTTTGAGCTACTAGAACAAAACAGAACTGCAACTTCCTGTTTCTCATTGTTTCTCCTTTTTATTAATGTCATTTTGTAGCTTCAGACACAGATGGCAACCGTGACATGTTGATGGCTGGTAAACATTACCCATCCATTCAAGAGTTTGCCTCAGCAATCCCCAACCACCTTCTCCTGGGGTCTCTGCTGGAGCACTTGTGCTTTGTCTACGAGACCAACCCAGCACGCTCACGAATGCTGTTTAAAGGTATGTACAGAGTATGTTGGTACGTGGTATTTTAAATACACATTTACCATTGTGTGATTATTGTCAGTTTATTTCTATTTCAGTTACAAATTATATTGTTGTTTCCTCTGACAGTCATTGGTCAGCGTTTAGCTGCGATGAACCTGCTCTCACCTTTGGCCATAAGTGATGAGTTCAGCACCGTCAGACTGCAGCACAACCGAGCCTTTACTGAGCTGCTTCACGCTGCCGAGTCCTCGCTGTATCCTCAGGTAACTGGACAAGTCACCAGTATGTCCACTGGGAGCCTTACCAAGTAGTCAGCATGTTGTCAGTTTGAGACTGGGACTGTTATGTAAAATGGTATTTGTAGTTCGTATAGACTTGTCAGTAAGACTGTGTTTATCCTCATCTCATTCACAGGGCCAACAAGGTCTCGGCACAAACGCACACAATCCTGCTTTAAGGTAAGCTAAACTTGGAGTAGTTTTTTTTATTGTTGAGATGCTTCAAATGAATATTAAAGAGATCATTCAGATCTTTGGAAGTGGGGTTGTAAGAGGTACTTATCCATATTCAGTGTATAACCTACAGTAGTTGGTGGTCAGCATGCCCCCAGTTTGGAGAAGCAGACAGGAGTACTGTGACGGAGGCTAAGCAACGTACTGCTATTGTCAGGGGCAGCAGCAAAACATATTTGAGCTACTTAAAAAAATAATATAAGTTTAGATGTACGCATTGTTTAGAATAGTTTCACTGCTTTATCCTGCTGTCAAACAACCTTTTCTGAAAGAGAAGTAAAGTTGTTATCTATGCTCTCCTGAAAGTCACCAGACTCCTTCGACAAAAACAGTAGTCTTACCTCGCAGAGCACAGGAGTTGCTACTCTACTGCTCGAGCAGTTAGTTTTTATGTTATTTAGTGGCTTTGGTGTTTTAAAGGGTTAATTTGGATTCACCAAAGTCTCACAATAACAAACAAAACAACTGATTGAGGCAGCAGCAGTTCAGCAACTCCTGTGTTCAGCAAAGTAAAATTACAATTTTTGTCAAAGGAGTCTGGTGGCTTTGAAGAGATGAATGTAACGACTTCAGTTCCCCATCGACGGGGTCATCTTATGGCAAGGAAATCTGTGAAAATATTTAAATATAGCCTACACTTAAACTGATATTGATTTTTTGGTTAAAGTTGTTTTGCTGCTGTCCTCGTCAACAGCAATACATTGCTTAGCTTCAGTGCTGCTTTTCCCACCTGCTACACCAAACTGGTGGTGTGCCGACTGTCATCTACTGTAGGTAATACACTGACTATGGATAAGCACTTCTTACAACACTTCTTCAAACAATCCAAACTAGCCTTTAAGTAAGAGATGTCTGTTTTTGCCTTCCCTCAGATCTAAGGAGGGACTGTTTCAGGCGCAGACTTCCCGGTATCTTAGTGAATTTGAAGAGCTGTGCAGGCTCGGAAAAGGATCATATGGAAACGTTTTTAAGGTATTTTACCCCCTTCTTCTCCTTACTCCTCTACTCCACTACTCCACTAAAGAATAACTTTAGTCGATCAACACAGTCATGTTCTGTCTGATATCATCTTGTAGGTTATGAACAAACTGGATGGGCAGGATTATGCTGTGAAGAAAATTCTCATCAAAAACGTCTCAACAGAAGACTGCATGAAGGTGGGGCATCAGTGTTTTATCAATAGAACCTTCATGCACCCAGAGATATAATAGACTAATAATTAGATTTTTTTGTTTGGTTTTAGGTCCTCAGAGAAGTCAAAGTGTTGTCCAGCCTGATGCATGTAAATGTTGTCGGCTATCACACTGCATGGATGGAACATGTCCAGCCCGCGGCAAGTGAGTATTTACCTGCAGTCCTGCGAAAAGTTTGTTGGGCTGTAATAAGGTCAGTGAACAATTACAGTGACTTTTCTTATTATAAGAGCAGATTTATGTGAAAAACATCTCTGTTGCAGATGTCGAGCCTCTCCTGCCTGCACTGGAGTCACCTGGACAACAAGACAGGTAGGATCAGCGTCCAGTGTTAACTAAGCTTTCATGAATTCTTACGGACATTTCTCACCATTTTCTGTCATTGTATGAACCAAATTATGTTTCAAGAAAATAATAATTGTATTAATCCTTAATGAAATTAATTGTAACTTGCCACCCTAGTAGAGATGGGCCTTTTCAGTAATTTCCAAATGCGAGTATCATTATTACATGTTTATTATTATCATGTACATGAGTACTAGCAAAAAAAAGAAAAATTGGGTCTGAAATGAATACCCAAGTGAAAATGTAGTAGGAGAGTAGCCTACTTTTCTGTGCTGCAAGAGTTTAACGTGACATAGTTTGCACTTCTCAATCTGTTTGTTCATTTTCTCGATTAACTTCCAAACATCACTCTTATGTCTGGTCACCACTCTGCCTGTAATGTTAGATTCAGGGATGTCTGAATGAAAAGTTATCTGTAGCAGCCCAGATCATTTTTGCTGTATGGATCTGTGCAGATATTCATAGATAGCAGTTACAGTACTGCATCCCAACCAAAAAACAATTAGATTCCAGTGCTGGCTGCATTGGATTGTGACTTGTGTGATCCAAACATTTTCAATAACTCCAGAGCATTGTGAAGTCCAAAAGTTAAAAAAAAAAAAAAAGGTAATCATAATTGAGTGACAAAATTACAAAATGGTCTGTTTCAATCCATATTCATTGGCGTTTAGTCTTTCAAAAACAGTTTCATTGTGGTCAGAAAAACTGATGAGGCATGCACCTGTTTTTACAGGGCAGTATATAGCCCCAATCTAACAGCACCATGAATTACATTTATTCATTAAAGACAGATTATTTAATAAAAAAAGACTAACTCATTAATCCAGCAATTGCTCGATGTGTTGACGTCCAAATCGGGTACTCATGCCCATTCCAACGCCCTAATATTACTCATTAGCTTCACTGATATTTAACATTTTTACCTTGTGGTGAACTACTTTGGCTGAATTACTGACTTACTTGATTAATATCACAAAAAGAGAATAAAAAAAAAATATAATAATTAAAAAAAATAAATAAAAATTAAAAATAAAATTTATTTTATTTTATTTTATTTACGTTCTGATTCTTTACAGAAATAGCATGAAATAAGAATTTTTTTTTTAACAGGTAGAAATTATTCTTGGCCAGTAATATTTTTTACTCGCATATTAAAAAAAACTTATATAAAAAAACCTTACAATTACCTTCAAATTATAAATTATAATTTCATGGGGTTACCTGTAGCCATTAGGTAGAGTTTGCCCCATACTAGCTGAGACCTTGGCAGTGGCTCGAGTTTGATTCCAACCTGTCACCCTTTGTTGCATGTCATCCCCATTCTGTCTTTTTCCCTTACCTGTCACTCCCCACCTGTTCTGTCATAAAACCTAAAAAATAATTTTAGATAAATAAATAAATAAATAATAATAATTTCAAACAGTATTCCCAGTATTTATCTGAGGGCATGTAGATGCAATAATAGTTGTTATAATGCTCAAAACACTAAATGTGTCTCGTCTCTTTCTTTCACAGTTTTGATGAGAATCCTGACAACAGCAGCACCAGCTCCTCAATAGTGTTTCAAAGCCTCAGTCAGAGGACCGATACTGCTTCAAGTGCCAACATACCCCCCAGAGAGGCCGAGCCCGTCAAAGCTTTAGTTCCTACCCTCGAGACAGGCCAGGTGGTGTGTCCCAAGACGATGCGGCGGATTCCCAAGAACTATGTCCCCTGTGTGTTCCTGGGACAGGGAGGTCCTCCAAAGGGCTCCAAATGTCCCGCCATGGGGTGGGACAGCTCAGCACTGTTAGAGGAGGAGTCCGGCAGGAGTAGCATCGAACTGAACAACAACTCCTGCATTGATAAGGACTTTGAACAGTGGGCTGACAAATGCACAACAAAGCCTTCTAAAGAGGTAAATGCTTAAAGGAACAGTTCACTCCAAAATCAGAAATGCATATTTCTCTTCTTGTATGTAGTGCTATTTATCAGTCTAGATTGTTTTGGTGTGAGTTGCTGAGTGACTGAGATAGCAGCTGTAAGGATTTCTGCCTTCAATATAATGGAACTAAATGGCACTCGGCTTTTTAAATACATTTTTAAAAAATTCTCAACAGTAATATCTCGTTCCAGAGATCCTGACCCGGTTACTCAAGATAATTCACAGACTTTGTTGTGAGCAGTTTCATGTAGGGACTATTTTCTTTTTACTGAACTACATCCACCAACAGTATCACCACGCAGAAGGAAGCGTGCGTCTACTCATGTATGACAGGCTACTACTAGCTCACCAGAGGGAGCTAAAGTTACAGCTCAGCCACGCAGGATGTCAATAATGTTTACATCTCCCGTTTTCAAGAGCACAAAACTCTCGTCCATGAGTAGATGCAGGCTTTTTTCTTTGCAATGATACGGTTAAAAGAAAATAGTTTCAATGTGAAATTGCTCACAACAAGATCTGTGGACTATCTTGAGTAACCAGGCCAGGATTTCTGGAAAGAGAAAATGCTAAGAGTATTGTTTAAATGTAGTTCTTTGGCACTTTGAGCACCACAAGCTGAGTACCATCTAGTTTTATTATATCGAGAGAATGCGGACATCTCTACAGCAGATATCTCCAACCGTCTGCAACAAACACCAAAACAATGTAGACCAACAAATAAAGCTACAGATTCAAGGAAAAATGTGCATTTTTAATTTTAGGTGAAGTGTTCCTTTAAAGATTGCAATGTTTTATAGCTTGGTAAAAGTAAAAAAGTTAGACTCTTTTTTCAGAATTCTTGATGAAATGTACACTTATAAACAATGCTAAATTTTCAGTAATGGTTGTATCTGCAGGTGCAGTTCCACCTGATGCTCTACATCCAGATGCAGCTGTGTGAGCGCTCACTGAAGGACTGGATCTCTGAGAGGAACGCCAAGCCCAAAGAACAACTCAGCTCAAAATGTAATTATTTAACACATGTGTTACTTGAAAAAAATATGTTGTTCCATTACAGATTAAATATTAAAAAAAACTATTTTGTATTTTCAGGTCCTTATGGATGTGTTGACACAGAACACACACTCAGCCTGCTGAGAAAGATACTTGAAGGAGTGGAGTACATTCACTCCAGGGGAATCATGCACAGAGACCTGAAGGTAAGTTGCTTTGATAGATTTTATTTGGTTTGAGGTTATCTCTGTAGCTTAATGCAAACTATTCCAGTCACATACAGTTTGCATTGGCACACAGTTGTCAACTAGGAGTGATATCTAATAAGCCGTTAAAAGAGTCCTGGTCACCGTCTGTCACAAAGGAAATGTGTAAATTCTCCCAGTAGTTGAATACAAAGTCATACAGCTTTTCAGGAAGGCGTTTCCTCAACTCCTCCCTCTTGCCTTGGACGTGTTTCAGATAAATTTCACTCTTGCAAATATCCTGAAGCCTCCGTGGCTGCTGAGTGAGTTCTAGCAGCTGGTCCCTCTGTTTGAAGAAACAAGGCAGGGTCAAGGTGGACGGCAGGTGGCCGTTGTGGTTGTAGACAGTGAGCGGGGAGGTGAGGCTGAGGAGTTTGACCAGCAGAGAGCTATTCCTTAGATTAGGCCTGTGGTTCAGGAACAGGAACAGGCAGTTCTCCCCTGCTTCGCTCAGCTTATTGATGTTGGCTCCGTACCTGAGCAGTAGCTCCACCAGCTCCTTGTTGCCCATGCTGCATGCCTCCTGTAGAGGTGTCATTCCAGCTTTGTTTATAGAGTTGACCTCGGCCCCCCGCTCAAGCAGCTCAGAGATGCAGCTGAGGTCGTCCTGCATGGTTTTAGTGGTCTTCATAGCCATAGCCACAGCAGCTAAGTGCAGAGGAGTGTTCCCAGAGTGCTTCACCCCCTTAAAAATAGTCAAGAATATACTTGAATTTAATGTAGAACCTAATGCACATATTTCAGCAGGATGAGGAGCACTGAAAAGATGGTAAAAGGGGAATCGTTGAGTGTCTCTAATAAAACATGTGCACAAACCTTGTTGATATCTGCTCCCTCCTTGATCAAGCTGGCTATTAAGTCCTTATGGAGGATCCCTGCGGCCATGTGCAGGGGCGTCATCCCGCTGCTGTCCACAGCATTAACATCAGCACCGTAGCTGGACAGAATTTGGACAGCAGACAGAGCCGTGTAGCGTACTGACAGGTGGAGAGCTGTCTGATGACTCCCCTCCACCTAGAGAGGAACCACAAGAAAAATATATGCAAAACATTTCAAGAGGAGTGATGTAATGATATACTGATATGTTAAAATATTCACCTTTGCATTGACGTTAACACAGTGCTCACACAGGAGCCGTAGACAGGCCTCTGCCTGCTTATGCAAGCCGATCACAGCAGTCTGAAACTTTGACCCCGGTTTTGAGCCACAAGTCAGGATGCTCGGCCATGCAGCTATCACCAAATGCAGAGTGGTTCGTCCCAGCTGGTCCCTGTGGCAGAGGCAGAGACAGTGAACCAGTGAAGATAAAGAGCTGCCTTCTTTAATTAGAGCACTAATTCTAGAGAATTGGAACACAACCTTATTTTTTGGTCTTTTTTAATTTAAATTTTTCATTTATGAAATGAAATTTTTTTTTTTAAAAGATCAAAGTCTTGACTTTTGAACCTTGTAAAGACCCAACCTTCCAGTGATTTGATGTTTTCTTACAATATTTTTTGCTGCTGAAGACTTGAATTTTGTCATCCTCGCCAGGCGAGTTGTTTAATGATTTTGTATTAAACAAAATATTATTTAATTACCTGTATAATCAAAAAGTTTGAAATCATTTTTTCAAGAAATAAATACCCTTATAATGTTGCCCACCTACTATTTCTGTTGATAATGTAATTTGTCTTTGTGATAAACAACATATAATGTCATTTATAGCACAAAGAACACGCATTAAGTGTACTGTAGAAACATTTAATTGACATAATCTAATTTTATTGATCATTTATGAACATTTATTTAATTAATGTAACAGAAAAAAATCACTCTGACCGAGGGGTCCTCTTTATGACGGAGGACAAACTGGTAGAGTTGAACTGACCGTCTTTCATCCAGAATAACAACAACTGTGAAAGATCTATTCCACCATCAATTACAAACAGGGAGCAGACAAAATACTGAAATTTAATATTGAAGTACAAAAATGCAACATGTGAAGAGTCAGTCAAGAGAACTAAGTTATGCCAACTCTGTCAGCATGGATGTCAACTCCATAAGATACCTGACTAAGTTGACAAAACTTATATATTTATTAATTTCACAGCAGTCATAGTGAATAGCTACTTTATTTTTGTTTTTCAAAGTTGCTAAAAGTTCTCTTAATTCTCATCAAAATACAAATTTAAAACCAGAACTTATGTTTAGCTTTGATTAAAAATGGCTATGGAGTTGACCTGTTATGGTTGAGACACACCCTATAGCAGTATTATTTAATGAATATATCAAAAAATAGAAAGCTTATCGGTACTTGAGCAGCATTCACGCCTTTTTGGAAACCAGGAAGTGAGGTATGAGTCCTTGGGATATAGTTTACTCCTTTCATGCCTGATTAAATTATCTGACTGAGTTGACAAAAATGTGGGACACATCTTTAAGGGGCCAACATTTTTACAAAAAATATATTTTAAAAGAATTTTAGCAGTACATTTTCATACCAATGTTATTAGTACATAGAGTTGGTTTTAGATTTTGAAGGCTTAACACATTTTTGATAGTTTGAAGTTCTGAATTCTTGTCTGGAACAAGGGTGTTTTCTGGCACAGGGCAAGTTTAGACGTTAAAAAATAAAAGCAGATAAAAGCATTTTATAAATCGTATTTATTTCAAACCCTTTAAAAATAATGTTTTTTTCCCCCAAAACATAACAAATGTGTAAATAAGTTAGAATTATAAGATGTTGTTTTGTTTTTGTTTCCCGTAAGACTTTTGTTTCAGTTCTCAAGAATGGGTAAGAGATATAAGGAAGTATTGCATGTGGTTTTACTGAGTGTCACGACGTATAATTTCACAACCGTTTTAACAGGAAGTCGTCTAGTCACCATAAATTAAATTAGACTCTCTCTGTACATGCACTCTTATTTGTTGTAGCAAATAAACTAAACTATCTCAGCTGAAACGAGTTAATTTACCACGGCTGAGTTATTTACATTTTATCTTACGAGAGGCTGATAACAAAAGAAGAACAGCCTCATGTTAACACTGTAGTGTAAATGGGCATGATGTTTGGTGTTAGTGTGTGTGTCTGTGTCCTGGTCTTGGTGTGTGTTTTTCCAGACCTCCTTTCAGGGTCTGCCCCTGTTGACAGCAGGCTCTGCATGCTCTTTACTCTTCTGTACGAGGCAGCCAGATGAAGGGGCTGGGTAGTCAGGCCCTGAGGCAAGACAAGACGAGACAAGACAAACTGGAATACTGGATAACACAAATATGTTATAGCCTAACACTAAAAGGATTTCTTTCTATTTTACAATTTTAACATTTTGGTAAGTAATGAACACATTGGAACATTAACATGTGAGAGTTGTAAGTAATCACGAGCTTCTTGTGGCTGTTGTTGTCTATGTGTTTATTTGAGTATGATTTGGTAATAATATAATATATAAGATGCTGTGTTTCTGTCAGTGTGAAAGTGTGAATTCATTCACATTTTACATGTTTCACCTCTCACTAGTAATTTTTAAAAAACGGTTGCATAGTTGCATTTACCTTCCAGAAAACTTCTCCGGGCGCACCGCCTTGTATCTCGATGAGAAAGTTACTCCCATACTTTTTTGACATGTCCTCTATACGTCCCAAGTCTTGATCCATAATCGCAGTATAGAAGTCATTGTTGTGAAACATGACAATGTCGCCACTCCTACCCTCACGTTCCTTGCTCCCCTCCAACATGGCCAGGCATCGCAGCTTCACTGTTGTCTGTGTGTAGTCTCTCAGGATGTGTGCGTTGGTTGAAAGCTGGTTTTTCTGGTTTGTACGTGCGAGCGTACATTTGGCAATTTGGCTCTGCGAGGAGGGAAATGTTTAAATGCTACTTCTGTTTTCTTGTGTTTTCAGTCAGTCTGATTTCATCAAGTAAGTTTGATGTAAGTCCAAACTGATAACTTCTTGCGGCGTGTGGGGCCATTTATGGGGACTGTTAACACCCCTCTGAGTAATTTACAGGTTGTTCCTGTGCTTTTGGCACTTCAGTATTTTGCTTTTAGGAAAGCAGAGAATCATTACTTTGCAAATGTTTAACAATCCATCTTTTAAAATGCAGGAAATAATGTACAATATTTGCAAATTTGAACTTTATGTGATGTGAAGCAGATGAATTTTTCTAAATGATCTCCCTAAATTTGTTGATTTCTGCCCTTAGTTGTAATATTGCAAAAACTTAGAACATTTGCATCTTTAAACCTTCTGACGTATGCACCTAATTGTGACGTCTTTATTCTTCCACAGCCAAGGAATATTTTCCTCCATGGTCACGACTGCAATGTTCGGATCGGGGACTTCGGTCTGGCCTGCAGGGATCTAATACTGGATGGCCATAAAAGCACCACCTCTCCCAGCTGTGGTAATACTGCACTGCTTACCTTGTTGTGTTTTCACAACACAGCACCTCTCAGAATCACCTCTAGATGGTACTGTTTGCTTTAAAGTCACTTTTCTGGTGTATTTTGCAGATTCCTCACATACTTCGGGTGTTGGTACCTTTGTATATGCTGCACCAGAACAACTGAAGGGCTCCCATTATGACTCAAAGGTAAACATGTTCATTGTAACTAAAAAATGTTTGATTTAGACTTGTTTTTTCATGTAAAATTACACATATTTTTGTGCTTTACTTTCATCATTTATCAGCTTTGTCATTTTATTTAATCACTTATTTAAACAAGCAGTCGCACTGAGATTGGAATTTCTTTTTCAAGAAAGTACAAAAAACCCCCAAAACACATAGCCTAGGCAGATATTTACATTTAAGAAAGGCAATTACAAGTGTGGACTTTTTAATATTGCCACATGGACATTTTGGGCAAGACGCCCTTCTTTAGCGTGTATTCTGGCAACGTCACTAACAGTACCTCAACCAGAACAACAAGCCAAAGAAGGCAACTTCATTTATATAGCAGATTTCATACACAAGGGTGATTCAATGTGCTTTACAGAGCAATAAAATATAAAACATAATAAAGGATACAGAAAAGAGTTAAGCGAAAGAAGGTACAGAAGGTAAAATTGATTACTAAATTATTTTTTTAATGAAAAATCACCATTAAAAATAGCAAAAGTCTAGTCAAGAGATGCAAAGATATAAAGATATTTAAAATGATGTAAAATTGAGTTTAAAAATAGGGTTGCAGTCATAACAGGGTGGAGTAGGCACTGTAAAAAAGGAATGTTTTTAGCTTTGACTTAAAAAGGTCAGAGACAGGGCTTGTTAACAAGTACATCCCAACAGGGGGAGCCAAAACTTTTCATGGCACAGAGTCTCATAGTTTAGTGCAGTAAAACATGAAACAAGACAAAGCAGTCTGATTAACTAAAACCTTGGTCTAAAGACACTTCTTCTCAGGGTCTTGAATTTGTGTCCACCTACAGTCCCATATCTAAGTCAGTCTTAGAAATATTGAGGAGAGCAGAGCAAACTCTGCTTAGATATTTTTATAAGAGATCTTCCAAGTTACGTGATTACTTGGTGAAGTAAGAGACCTCCTTATTTTCTGCCTGAAATCTCCAGTGGGAATTTTTCTCGTCATAATTGTATTCACTGCTATTCTATGATCAGGGTTAATCAGTTAAGTCATCCTAAGTCTGGTGTTGATATCAAGGTTAGAGGCAGAATCACATGTAACACTAAATTTGTGGTTTATCTGTTAAAATGTCTGTAATTTGTATTATGTTGGGAAAACCAAAGAGAGTTAAAATCCAGGATGTGTGAACATAAGTGTTCGATACATTATCATGATAAGAAATTATCTGTGGCTATGCACTTCAATAGTAAGAATCACAGCTTAGGTGAACTTCATTACATGGATGTTGACACAGTAAAGATGCCACAGAGAGGTGGTAATAGAGACAGAATCCTTCTCCACAGGGAGATATGTTGAATATATTTCCTTGATACCCTCATCCCCAATGGGATGAACAAGGAGATTTCATTTGCTTGTGAGGTGACGATATTTGTGTTGTTTCATTTTTTAGTGCCCCAAACCACAAGAATCTGTGCCATGAAAGGTTTTGGCTCCCCCTGTTGGGGTGTAGTTGTTGTGCAGGTTGAGGTCACTTACAAGTAACTCCACCTGTGTATATTGTTTCTAACTTTAATCGTGAGTCGAATGTGTTGTGTCTTATTTTTAAGTATGCAAGTGCAGCCTTTAAAATGTTCAAACAGGATAAGGGCAGGCTCGCTCCACTTGTATGCAGCATAGTATTTGAAGCCGTGTTTCCTGAGTCCAGTGTGAACAAGAGATACAGCTGATGTTAAGTTGTCCTGAGACTTGAGATTGTTAGTGCAGTATTTAAATGCAACCAGACAGCAGAGGTAACCAGGCAGTTATTGCAGTAGAGCCTTACATTATATCAATAATCTTTATCATTGTCACCTCTTCTATGACATTTTTTAACAACTGTCAGCTTAAACTTTGTGTTATTGTTTCTCTCTCAGTCAGACATGTACAGCATCGGAGTGCTGGCTCTCGAGCTATTCCAGCCCTTTGGGACAGAGATGGAGCGGGTGAGGATCCTTGGGGACCTGAGAGACGGGAAAATCCCAGACTCGTTCTGCCAGAGATGGCCAGTCCTGACGAAGTACATCATGAAGCTGACGAGTAAAGAGCCCAGTGTTCGGCCCACGGCCAGCCAGCTTCTACAGAGCGAACTCTTCTGCAGTAAAGACATAGTATGTTGAGATAAATTGATATATTTTAGCTCTGCAAATGATAAACCCCTGGAGACGTTTGGTGCTTTGAAAAAACAAAAAAGTGTGAAAAATGGTCACCAAAAAGTGCTTTCTGTTGCCACCAGGAGGACTTAAGAACACATCTGCAGTACAGCTCCTAATAATAAGAAACCAATTTTTATATTTTTTCCCTCCGCAGGTGATCCATGGTTTGCAGAAGAGGGTTGAAGAGCAGGAGGAAGAGATCATGCAGCTGAGGAGACAGATCAGTCAGCTCCAGAGCTCAGAAGTCACAGTTCATTTCTCTGAGTCAGACAAGAGCTGAGCCTTAAAGGTCTCTACTCTACAGACTGTCAAAACTTGATTTATCAGCCACTGCTGTACTGATTTAGTGACCTGGTACAAGTGGTAGAGCAAGTGTGCGTGCGTGCGTGCGTGCGTGTGTGAGTGAGCATTTGAGCGTGCATTCTACACCTGGATGTAAGAGTGCAATTATTTATCTTCATTTAGCTGTTCAATAAAACATAATTCTGTGACATCTTACAAGATCTCTGAGAAGCAATATGTGATTACTGATCATTCGAGACTTTCCTTTGAAAGTAGCACACGTACAGCAAATTGAAAAAGTGAGCTTTAAGCAGAGTTGACAATGTGTATTATGGTTTTGTTCAGCCTCTTGATCCTGAAGGAAACGCTGCCCATTGTCAGCAAATTGAAAACCATTTGTGGACACAATAGGCCTTCCAATTTTGTTTCACGGGGACATTGGCACATTTATTTCCATGCATAGAGGTTCAAACACGTCTTTGTTCTCTGGGCTGTACACATGGTTGATGGTGGTTAAAAGACTGAGTTACTGATCACAAGAATACACTGTTTTATCTTGAGAACTTTTTAAAGTGAAGATACTGTGAGTAGTGTGTGATGTATTTGTAGTTTTCAGCATCGATAAAACAATCTGCTGTGAAGTTGGTCGCCAAGTTATTATGCTGGAACCACTTCTAATGGATCTATATGGGATTAATGCACACAATGTGAGTTGTACATTATGTACACAAAGGTCAGAGGAGTGTACATGCGACGGATCTTCCCGACACACGTTCCCCTCAAAGAAACGGAAGAATCAACCAATCAGAGACCTCGTTTCATCGCAGGTACCCGGATGTACCAGTGACGCAATTAGCTACGTCATTGTTCACCGCCGGACACCCGCTGTAAATAAGGAATGGATTTACAACCGCTATTAACGCATTCATAACAGATTTCCAGGTGAGTGTGTTGATGATTTTACGATTCAGTGACCCTTTAAGTGTGCAGCCGTCATATTTCAGTGGGCCTGAGCGGCCGAGATTTGCTGTAGTAGCCTCACACCGGTCCTCTGTCATGTCGGAGAGAGCAGCGCAGTGAGCACACACAGCCGCCGGTGTCGAGCCCCTCCTTTCTCGGTTAAATACACGTCCCGTTACCCGGGCCCACGCATTGTCCATCAAATTATTTTGAAAGTGGAAACACAAAACTGTTCTTTGACGTTATCAGGAGACAGTTACGTTACTTTCCGCCATGACAATCAGCTTCTACCGTGCCGAGCTAGCTAGCAGCGTTAGCATCAATATTGCCGCACGAGCGCCGCCGCGCGAAACGCTAGCCAGCCCCCGTTTGATAGCTACGCTCGTACTCCATAGTGTTCACTCGTTTGTCTCTGTTGTGCCACTCTGCTCCGGCCCTCGACGAGAAAGGTGAGGTTTTAGCCGCTGCTCTGTCGGCCCAAGGGGTTAAATGAGGTTTAATTCGTGTCTTGGTCAGATTTAGCGACGCTGCGTGTTAAAGGCCTACCAGCCGTCTGTTAGCAAACGTATACCAGTCTGCCAGAGCAGGTGGGAGGGAACAGCTGTTGTAAACGTGCTTCCGACCAGGACATTTCCTCTATCGGTTTTTTCAGCAAGTAACGCTCAGTAAGGTAACTTTATCGCGGCTAAATAATTGTCATGCCAGCTCTGAGTAGCTGGTCCATATTCAAAACAGTAGTTAATAGCTTGACAGTGTTTTCAGTCACTTGTTTTTATTAAGGAAACTTTGCAAAGCGTCCATGCATTGCTATCACCAAGAGCTAATGTAGTTGTTAGATGCGAGCGGATGCTGAAAGAGAAACATGGTACTTTTAACTTTATAAAAGTCATTATTATTATTTTGTTAATAGCTTTAATTGACTATTACTTGGTTTTGATTGATTATTGATTATAAGGCAGCCAAGGGTTTTCTCCAACATGAACCCAGTGTGTTGTTTAAATGTAATACACAGGTGCTATGTAAATTACGTTACAACCATATTTCAGGGCTAATGGATGTAGCTATTTCAGACTGCTCCCACTGAGTTAATTTTTAATCTAAAAAAATCTGCTGTACAGTTGCTGAGCCAGTAACTAGGCCTTAACATTTCTTCTGTTCTTGATTATTCAGATATAGTGAAAAAGTGATTATCTTCCTTGAAATAAATGATCAAATCTAATATTTTATTTTTGACAGATTAAAGGTGATGGTACTTGATAAGAAATTAGGTAATTATTACAATGTATTTAACTGCACAAGTGATCATTTGTGATGAATAGTTATATTCTGGTTATGGTATTTAGTGGTTGTAATCTAAATATACTGTAATGTTATCAAGAGTAGTTGTGGTTGATGTAATCTGTAACAACAAACAGATGGTTTTAATATAGTGTGTTTATCTCACTTGAAACAGTCAAAGAATAACAAAATGTCATCACTCTTTTTTTGAATACCATCACTGTTTCGACATGTCACACACAGATGTATCTATAAAGCGACATCATACATGAAAAACACAAATATCTTGAACTTAATCTGTATGTCAGCAGCTTATAAAGTTCTGTGTCCCTGTGTTTCTGCCCTTCATGCAGCAATGAACAATGACCATAGTTGACAAATCTTCAGAAAATTCTGACCACGAGTCAGTCGGGTGTAAGCGCTCTCCCTTCACCAGTGGAGACGTGGGGATGGACGGCAGCTGTTCCAGCAGCTGGGCAATGGGCCCCACCATGCCCAGCGATTCTCCCAGGCTGAAGCCTGCAGGAGGCTGCCTGGGTCCAACACCTGGAGCTGCGGTTTACAACAGTACACCATCCTCTGTGGACCCGCCGAAGGACCAAGGTAAGAGCGAGGGCTTTTATCAGCTGCGTTTTAAATGCATGTGTCTTGAAAGCTGGGAGGAAACCATACACCTTTATCCCTCAAACAGTAGACAATGGGCATGTGGAAGAGTTGTCAAGCAGCAAAGTTCTGCCACTGTTTGTGGCATGAGAGTGTGACACAACTGGTTTTGTGGGTGTTGTGTTGCTGCTTCCACTCTTCTTTCATTCATCCAGTTACATAACCGAGTCTGTTTTGAAGTGAGAGCATGATCAATCCCTCGAGCTTGTGACGCCATTGGTGTTTTGATACAAAGAGCAGCAGCCTGACTTGTTTAGCTGAAATAAAAGTGAAACCTTGTCTTATGTTTTCTCCTTCAGTTTGTTTTAGCCTTACTTCATAGTCAGGATCACATTACATAACTGTAGACTGCAAGCTGCGATTGTAAGGACCTGAAGTTTCCTTCCCTGTGTGCCAGTATGTACTTACATAGGCAGTGTATTATATATACTTGTTGATGTCCCGGAATCAAGTTAATGTATTGAATCTAATTTTAGTAATCACGTTGGCTCTGTGTGTACAGTGATAAGCAGCGGTGATGGCATGGACTTGCCCCAGAAGGTCCTCTTCCCTCCAGAGCGGCTCAACCTAAAGTGGACCCAGGTTCACCGAGTTGGTGCAGGCCTGCAGAACATGGGGAACACCTGCTTCCTCAACTCAGCTCTGCAGTGTCTCACCTACACCCCTCCATTCGCCAACTACATGCTGACACGGGAACACTCCAAAACGTGTAAGTTGGGGTTTCATGGTGCTTCTTTGCAAGAAGTTCTTGTGTAATTGTACAGTCATGCAATAATTATCACATCATGTCTGATTCATGTCTTACTCATTAATGTTTTCATCCATCTGTCCCTGCCGCAGGTCACGAGCCAGGGTTCTGTATGATGTGCACCATGCAAAACCACATCATTCAGGTTTTTGCAAACTCTGGGAACGTCATTAAGCCCATTGGTGTGCTCAATGAACTCAAAAGTAAGTGGTTGTGGTTACAAAATGTTTACCTGAAACGAATGACAGGAGGCGCTGTGTGGCTGTTTACCTTTTTAATTTTGGAGGGAAATCCTCTGATGGGACTTTATGATGTGCTGTTAACAGTTTTTTTTTAACTTTACGTCTATGTGTTTGTGTGATATCATTTATCAACCTCTTACACATTTAACTGTTATGTGTTTTTCCCCTGATAGGGATTGCTAAGCACTTCCGCTATGGAAGCCAGGAGGATGCTCATGAGTTCCTGCGGTACACAGTGGATGCTATGCAAAAGTCCTGCTTACCTGGAACCAAGTAAGATAATTAGCTATGTAATGTCAATACAGAATTAGAAGTATTATTGTATTCTATCTACTCTGTTTTGTGCTTAGCCATTGAACAGCTCCCAAAGGCCTTCTAGTCTAACTCTTGCATAAAAGCTACATTTGCAGTATTTATGTTTTTCCTCCAAAATAAAAGAAATCCGAGTAGAGCCGGAGGTTATGTGCACATATGCAGCCAACATGCATGTTTTATAGATACACTGGGCTGGCCATTGTGTTTCTCAGGGGACTCTAAAAATGTGATTTAAAGAACTTCAAGTATGAAGCTGATTCTTATTCTGTAGTAACAGGTGGCCTCTCATCTAATTACTCTTGCTCTAATTCCTCCCTTTCTCACTTCTGCTCTTTCAGCTGCAATATGTTGTGACGTGTCACTACAAGATACTGTAAATAGATATTTTTATGTGTTTTAGTTCAGCCAGAAAATATTAATCTGTTTGTTTGGTTAATAAGGCAACCAGTCAGTTATGTCATTATCATTTTTGGTTGTTTGACATCCGCATATTTATCTTTGTGACAGATTGGACAGGCAAACGCAGGCAACCACTTTCATCCACCAAGTATTTGGCGGGCACCTAAGATCCAGAGGTACGTTAGAAGTGTGTTTCTATTACGTGTGGTCATGTGTTTTGTTGTTTTACATTTCTCCAAGACGAATATATGAACACTGACTTTTTCCTTTTCAGTTAAATGTTTAAACTGCAAAGCAGTGTCCGATACATTTGACCCTTTTCTGGATATTCCTCTGGAAATTAAGGTAATTACAGAAAATTCTCTGTCACTTGTGGGTCTGATGTGTCAATTGAGATATTTGCAGTGATCTTAAGAACATTGTCCTCTCCATACAGACAGCGACCAGTGTCTCCAAGGCTCTGGAGCAGTTTGTCAAACCGGAGCAGCTGGATGGTGAAAACTCATACAAATGCACCAAGTAAGGAAAAAAGGAATTCAGAAAAGGCGACAAGAGAAAGACAGTGTTTTGTTTGATTATATCCAAGTGTTTGCCAGCTAACTAACTGAACA